GCGAGATACAGAAACCCGAACGACCCGATTATCGCCCCCAGTTTCCCCGCCGCCGCCGATATTCCGTGGCATGTCGACCGCAACCTCGCTGGAAATATCTCCGCCGGCACAATAAAGGTCGTACTGTTCGGCCCAAAGTTCGCGAAGAAGAAGGTGAATGCGTACATCACAACAAACCCAATGTGATTCCCAGGCGTCGTCCAATGACTGTAAGGAATCGCAAGTCCGAGCATAAACACGGTCATCATCAAGAACCCAAGCAACTGAATCCCGAACCGGCCGATCACATCAATAAGCGCGACGGTGAACCAGTACCCGGGAACCGTTCCGCACAGCGCGATCAGAGTCTGAGCTCTGGCGATTTTGAACACCTCTTCAAGCGCGTTCATCGTGAAGCCTTTCGGAATCCATCCTATGGCGCTAAAGATGTCTTTTTGGAAGAGGTTCTGGCTGTAGAAAGCGATGTCGAGAAGGAACCAGCTGGTGGTGGTTCCGAGGAGATGGAGGCCATGGCGGCGAAGGAAGTGTTTGGAGAAGAGGCCAAAGGTGTGATTTTTATCGGCGGCGAAGCGTTCGATTTTGGCCTCTTCTGCTTGGATCTCGACTTGGAGGACTTTGGACATGTCGGAAGCTGCTTGTTTTGCGTTTTGGGCGACAAGGGCGGTGTAGCGAGCGGTTTCTGGCATCTTCATTCGCCAGTAGTATGTAAGAGCGGCGGGGAGAGCGCCGACCATGAGAATTATTCGCCAGACATAGTCGGCTTCAGGCACGGTGGATCCGGCGGGATCGACCGCGTATGCCGGAGCGGGAAATCGGCTCTTGAATACTGCGGAGATGATGATGGCGACCATGCCGCCGGCCAGAATGCCAAAGCCCTGACATTTTGATCCACGTTCATCAAATCTCTTTCTCTCAACACTTACTATTAGGGTGATTTGCATGCATAGCACAATATTTATTTATTTATAGATTTATTATTTAAATATACTAGCAACAGAGTCATCCCATACACTCTCTTCCGCCCAAGCTTATCTCCTAACCAACCAAAGAACAGTTGGCCGGAGAGAGTCCCACAGAAGGCAACGCCGTTGACGGAGGCGGAGATGTGCGGAGGAAGAGAGCCGGGGGTAAGGGATCCATCGACGTGGTAATAGATGCGGCCGAGGAGTTTGGTTACGAGGGAGATACAGAACAGGTCATAGGCGTCGGTGAAGAAGCCCATGCCGGCGACGACGATGGCGGTGAAATGGTACCATTGCGTTTTGGCCGCGTCGAGGGCGGAGAGAACCTGGAGTTGTTCCTTCGCCATTGGTTTTATCTTCTTCTTTCCTCCTCCTCCTGGCCTGATTAGAGGCGAAGGATCAGAGAGCCAGAAAAAAGTTTGCTTTTTTGATTCCTCTGCTGGGAAATGAAGAAGCTTTGATTTACATTTTTTGTGGGAGGTCAGAAGGGTTAAATAGGGGGAGTGGGAGGAGAAAGAGAATCTGCGGAGAGAATATTCGATGATTTGTGGGGTCAAAGGTGAGGTGTGGGGCCAGGGTTTGCCACGTCAGATATTCTGTTTTGCTTGAAGGATTAATGGTGGTGAGGAAGGAGGGGAGGGAGAGACATTTGTTTTGTTTTTCGATTAATAGGGGAGGATTTATACGAATATTCTGATTATTATTCCTTTTTTGTTATCTTGAATATAAATATAATTAGATTTTTTTTTTAAATTTTGTTATATGTTTTTATCAATTGAATAAGGCTTCATTTGAAACGGTTTTTTTACTATTTTCTAAAGCAATTTTTTAGTACAAAAATTTTAAAACTAGAAATTGTTATGTTAGAAATTTGTTTTAAAAAGCATTAAGAAAGTCACCCCAAACGAAGGACGACTTTCTTACTATTTTTAAAGTATCTTTTTAGAGTAAATATTTTTTTTTAATTAAAAAATTTATATTAAAAATTTACTTTAAAAAATAGTAAGAAAATATTCGCAAACAATGCCTAATTATCTTATTGAAGTGATTAAAGAGAAAATGAACAAGTGGCCAAGTTGCATGCATATCATTTGTTTAATATTTTGATTTTTATATTATTTATAATATCTAAATATTTAAAATGTATAAAAATTTATGTATCATGCATTTTATTTTAAATAATTTAATATTAGTAATATTTTTAATATAATTTATATATTATGATTTTACATAAATAAATATTAAAAATTACATGTTAAATATGTTAATGTATAATACGATAAGTACTTTATGATATGGAGATAAATGCCTCTTGAATATTGTTTAGTTGTCTACATGGATAGTTTTAAAACTAGCTAAATAAAAAAAAAATATTATATTATATGGGTAGCTACCCTAAGCTTAATTAGTGTTGATACGCCTTAAAAAATTATCTTGATTGGGAACAAATCTCGATGCAAAATCAAGTTGGAAGCTTCCAAAATTAAAATTGGGACCATCCGAACTCCGATTTCATCAAACTTATAGTCAAACTGAGCGTATCAAGAATACGAACCCAACGACACCAAATCCAACCCAATCCGAGCCCAAACGAGTCCAAATCAAGGGTTAGAAGCGCTGTTGGAAAGTTCAAATCACAATTTGGATTACCAAATGTTTTCCAAACATAATGTGCTTATAGTCAAATCGAGCGGCTTGACGCGACGAATCAAACGAGCCTAAGATCACCAAAATCCGACATCACTAAGACATTCAAATGTCCATCAAACGATCCATGATCAAGGGATTCAACATCGGACGTCCATCCAACCATTACCCATTTACCCTTGATCTCTCATCTATTTACGAATCATGCCACTCTAGAAATCTATAAATAGACCTCTCATTTCTCTTGAAAGGGATCCAAGCAAGAAGCAAGAAGAAAGAAGCTCCTCCTCGACCACCACCTGAGTTCGGACCACCACCTGAGGCCCTCGCCTTTGCCAGACACTACTTGAGGCCCTAAACTCTGCCACACCATCAACTAATGCCAGAGTTCTGCCAAGTCACTATTAGACTACTAACTGACGCCCCAACTTCCAAGTGACATCAGATTTTAACACTAGACTTCAACCTTACGGTTGACATTTGTAATCTGATCGCCCTCAAGGATGAGTCAACCTAGTGTATTCAACTCAAATTCTAGTGAAATCTTTCTAATTAGGCTATGCCCCGTAGTTTTTCTTTTTTCAGGATTTTCCACATAAAAAATTATGTGTTCTCTATGTTTGAGCTGGATATCCGTGCAACGCTAAGACGTAGAATTACAACTCTATAGCCGCATATAATCCCTGCAACAAGTGTATATTTGAAATAATCGATAAAATTTTCCCAAAAAAAAAAAAAAACTCAAGTAATATATTTCAAAATATTTAATACTACTGTTTTAAAAAGAAATTTTATAAATTTATGGCATCGAGGTGCTTTGCCCGACTAAGAAAATTCATTGAGCTAAAATGCAAGTCATATATCTTTCATTGATCCACAAAACAATTTTTTTCTAATATAATAATTCTTTTAAATTTGCAAATATTTTATGGCCGAATATCTAAACTAGCTCACCTCGACCGTCCAATATGATAATTTGAGATGAATTTATTACTGTTTCTTAAAATAATTTTTTAGTTCAAGCATTAATTTTTTTATAATAAAAATTTGCTTTAAAAAATAATAAAAAAGTCATTCCAAAAGAAGCATAACTGTTTGTTTGGGATGATTTTTTACTGCTTAAAACTGCTTTCAAGTAAAAAAATTAAATTTTTTTAACTATAAAGCATATTTAAGAAGCAGAAAAAAAGCCGTCCCAAACGAAGGCTTCGTTTGGGACTGCTTTTTTTCTGCTTTCTAAAATGAAGTTTTAGTACAAAATTTTTTATTTTTGTACTAAAACTCCATTTTAGAAAGCAATAAAAAAGCCGTCTCAAACGAAGCTTAAATCTCTATTGTTCAAGTATAATGATACAAAACATGTGAAGAAGAGTATGCATTTCTCCTCGTATATTTTATGCTTCATTTGAGATAACTTTTTTTTTTTTTACTATTTTTTAAAATAATATTTTTACAAAAAAATTTTGTAAAAAAAATTACTTTATAAACTAGGAAAAAACATTATCCCAAATAAAACCTCATATTATTTTTCCACAATGATTGGAATTTAAAATAAATTTAAGCAGTTTAGATATGACACTAAAACTTGGAACAAAAATATGATTTATAAATATATAGAGAAAGAACTAATCACATGAAATATTTGATTCATCCATCTTAAATAACTCAAACTTGAACTAAAATTCATTGAAAATATAAAAAAACTAATGTTCTTTGTGCTATTTTGAATCTCAAATCTTCAAAATTTTTTATGGATGTAAAAAATTACAAAAGGATAAATTATTACATCCTTTCTAAATAAATAGTATTATAACTTTATGTAAATAGCCTATTATTCATTTGATAGAATATATTCGATATTTTTCCACACAATTTCATAGAGTTATTTTTTAATCATACGAAAACTATTTCAACTAAAATCTAATTATTAATTAATAAGACAAATTTAATAATTATCATAAAAAGATTATTAAGCCAAAGCAGAATAGAACTAAACTAACTTAGCTAAAAATCATACATAAAAAATATTAAAAAAAGAGGTCAGAATGAGCCTTAAAACCCTTAGATCTTTATCTTAAGATGAGTGCAAAAATTGAGCCAAACACTTCCAGGTCTACCATTCTCCCTACTATTTGTGCTGATACTCTCTGATGCTTAGAAATTTCAGAATGACAAAACAAAGTCACGTTGCTCATCTTAATCTGTTAGTTGGAAGCTTTGACTACTGACTAAGATGTCTTACTGTCTTAGATTCGAAGCTCGTATTTATGATGCGTGTGTGAGTTTACCTTAATTGGCTCAAAATCCCGAAAAAAAAACAAACAAAAGTCAAATTAGATGCATTTTCTAAGCTAAAAAGCTTTTCTAATAATATTTCAAAGGCATTTCAGCTGATAATATAAAAATTGATTTCATCAGCAGCTTAGTATTATAACCAGAAATCAATAGCCAGAACAGGCAGGGGGCATATCAATCTTCCATCAGGCTAAAAATTGCCTCTCTCACAAAACACTCATAAAACAGAATACCACAATAGCAGTATTAGCAAAAAGATGCCATTCACAGGAACCACCAATAGCTAAATCTAGCGAAATGGAAGAAGTGAAAAAGTTGCTTATTATTACACTGAAAATTGGAGTAATAACATCTTCAGTAATTTACCTCCGAAGAAGCTTCAGCTCATGATTTTTCAGATGTTCAAGGCTCAATCGTTTAATCCCTGAATTGTGCTGTAATCACTATGTACTATCATATATCAAACCCCACATTGCATCCAAAAAGAAATCTCTTAAGGCATCGAAGCGGCGATCTCCATCGTGTGAAGAATAGCCCTCAAACTTTTGCCCCAAGAAAAGACTGCAATCAAATCAGCCAAAATTAGAGTGAAGTACAATTTTACTTGTGCATTCAGCAATATATGAAATTCTACTACATGATAAGGGGAAAATAAGTAGATCCTGCAAGATTTAGAAAATATCTCAAAAGATGAATTAAGAATACAAATGATCTTTCTATATTAGATTTAAATGAGAATTTGACTTTTAACATGACACAATGGAGAAAAAGAATTCATGTAGCCGACCCCACATAGTGGGATAGGCTTGATGTTGTTGTTGTTGTTGTATGCTTTCTACATTCAGGAAAAAAGAGTAAATGAGTTGACTTTCTGAACAAGCTCCTCTCCATTGTATAGCTTGCGGGCATCTGAGGCTAAGGTAAATATATTACTTCTTTATAACATTTCACACTAGGAGAGAAAGTGATAAGGTTAACAATTGTAATGGGTAGTTTGGTATTGGGTTAGTAGGTCATTGTGGGTCTTGATGCTTCATAAGTAGATGATTAGTATTAAGTGCTTCATAGGTAGTTAATGAGTTTTTATGATTCCATAAATACTCTCCATTAAGGGTAATAGGGCAAGCGATGAATACAATGAAATAGCTCCTATATGTATTGTTTTATTCTCTCTCACCTCACCTAATTTTTTAAGTTGTGTATGATCCCACCATTGGGGTTGTATCATATAGCTATGCTACAATCGACATTGAAACAAAACTAAAAGAACATACCAGTTTCCAGTTACATCAGAATGGTGCACTTTGTGAAAGGATACCAAGGTAAGGTAGAAGAAAAAGGTGGTCCTTCAGGTATCAAAACACAAGCCTACTTTTTGTGGCTTACGAAGGCAAAAGACCCAACCTTGCCTTAGAAACTGCATTTTGGAGAATTTCTACAGGTCAATGATTCCATGAAGTGTGGTGCACCTTTTTGTGGGTGTTTTGCCATCATGGCAGAGACGTGAAAGACCGAGGTGAAGGAAGCATTCAGAAGTAACAAGGATTTCAAGTATGAATATTAATATTATCTCTACACTAAATTCCATTACTAATAAAGCTTTAGCTGCCCCAAACATTGTACCGAAACATATCCTTGTTGCTTTTAGTGGATGAGATATCTTCCTATGAGACATCTTGCAAAGCAGTAAAGTATTATATGAACTTATACAGGTAGGAAAATAATTCCTCTCAGACACAAAAGCAAGCTCAAATCACCCCAGCATCCAAATCCAGTTTTGTTGTTCAATGAACTAGCCATTATCCCAATTATTTGGGTCCACTTCATGAATTCTTAATATCAATTCATTTTGCAAATGTTGCATGAGTTGTAAAATTTATTTTGCACATATCTTTTGCAAAACCACTGAAGTTACTTTCAGTCAACCATTTTTTCTTTTTAACCCTTCAACTTCAATTTTATTTAGCCATCTTGTTTAACACGGTCAAATCACCTATGCCAATTTTTACCACATTATCTTCAAAGATGCTAGTCTCACCTTTCCTCAAATAGAATTATCTTAATTTATCCATTTTAGTTTTGCCACACATTTAACTTATAAGTTCTCATTTCTAACAAGCACAACTTATCTACGAATAACTCTTCATTGCTTAACATTCAAATTTTGTATAACATAGCTAACATAATTGCAATTTTATAAAATTCTCTAGTGGCATAGTACTTGTAAAGCATTTCTCTATTTTAAACAACCAACATTTACTCTAAAATTATATCCTAATTCTTACGCATGTTATAATCAAGTTACTTAAGCTTATCACGCTTAGATTTTACTTTGAGCAAGTTAATTAAGCTTATCACACTTAGATTTTACTTTGAGCAAGTTACTTAAGCTTATTACACTTATCAGATTACTTAAGCTTATCGTTTCATTCGCACTTTTGAGTAATTGAGCCTCATAACGAGCAAAGTCAAAATTGAATATTGGAATTTTAGTTACTGGCCTTAAAAAAATAATTTTATGGGCTAAAAGGATATTAAGCACCCTCTAAGCCCGACCCAAATAAACTAATTAATTCTGGAGAATTAATTAATCATTAGTATTAGCACAACACTAATATATATATATATATATATATATATATATATTCAATTGCTCTACTAATTCTAACCCATTTATCCTTTAAGCACCTTCTCCATTATTTAACTTTCCACGCATCTAGTAGGGACCCTCTCTTATTATAACTATGTCAAGAGGGAAAAGCATACACCAAGGTAAATCACTCTGAATATCCTTAATAAACAATAAAAAAGTAACTAATGATCAACTTGGTCATTACACTGACTACTTACGGAAGTAATCCATTTTGCAGCAAAAATATTTTTAATAAACTTACCATAATGTAACAAAGATCTTTGATTAAAACCTACCATGAACAATAACTCATTGATCACTTCACAACTACTTAAAATGATAATCAATATTGCACCATCAAATATATCATTAACAACTTCCACACCATTTATACACACATTTTTCACTCAATGAGATCAAATTAACATGATAATAGATCGTTTGCCTTCTCAGCACTAATAAAAATCTTATGGAACCCCATTTCTTTGCTCTCTATATTTCCATTAGTTATCTTAAACCAAAAATTTGCATTTATAATGGATCTTCACAGCATAAAATCAAATTAATGCTTTGATATCAATACAGATGTTTTAGTCTACATTCTATTACCCTCTCACACAACTTTTATGTATGACTAATAAACTACTTAAAAAAAAAACATTTTAGCACCAGCTGCACATAGTTGTACGGTCTACCTTTATAAAATGACATCAATATTAAATTTCTAAAAAGGATGAAAGTACGAAGTTAAGGTTCATGTTTCATCATCATCCATAAAAAAGGCAAAGCTAAGGAATTAATCATGAACAGATTTTTCTAGATCACAATCTGATCTCTTCCAATGTCAAGGCCACCAAAACAAAATAAATAAATTTGAAAGTGCTGTGATCAGGCCGTATTCTTCTGTTCATAAAATTGATGAAGAGAAATTCGAGTCCACAAATAACAACGAAGACATAAAATATTTGGATTTGAAAATTAGTACATCATCATCTGCCTTATCCTTGCTTTTTAAAGGTGGGGCTTTATGAATCCTCATTCTCCATTCAGGTATAAATTGAGTGCTTTAATAAATTAATGTTCAACAACAAATCTGAGAGCTGTACGCACCTTTACTCCTGGTTGAGGTGTGCCCAATTTACTAGTTGTTGTACTTCCAAAATTTAACTTTTTCTTTTCTGCAGGCTTTAATATCTGGAAGGAACACATCAGAGTGTCATCCACGCTCATCATAGCACCAGCATTGTCAAATTCACCGCAGTAATTTGGTGCTGAGAATATTGTAACCAGTTGCCTATCAGCAAAGAACTCATAACCATCTTCAACAACCTGAAAACCAAAATAAGAATCCATTAACACCAACACAAGAGCAAAGAACTAGATTTAGATAATCCCTGACCTGGTGAGCACGACATATAAGATCTAGATCATGCTTTTGAAGGAACTCAGACACCTTGTCAGCACCAAAGGTATAGGAAACGCCCCTATCATTCATTCCCCAACCTTGAACATCTTTACTAGGATCAGACCAGAGAAGATCACAGAGTAAACCAGTATCAGGAACATCTGTTGGCCGTGCTAGGTTTCTTATTTGATCCAAACTATGCAAGTCTGGAGATAGACCTCCATGCATACAGAGGATCTTTTCATCAATAAGAGCTGCCACAGGAAGGCAGTTAAAGCAATCTGTGAAGACTTTCCAAATCCTCACATTGAATCTGCGTTTACATTCATCATAAAACCCATAAATGCGGTTTATCGAAGCACATTCATGGTTCCCTCTCAAAAGAAAAAAGTTTTCTGGGTACTTGATTTTGTAGGCTAAAAGGAGGCATATTGTTTCAAGACTCTGCTTCCCTCTGTCTACATAATCCCCCAAGAAGAGGTAATTAGCTGCAGGAGGAAGACCTCCATATTCAAAGAGCCGCAACAGATCAGAGTACTGGCCATGAATGTCACCTGTGTACAACCAGAAACCATCATAAACAGTGCGGAGAACAGGCACATGTTCAAGTTGAGCAAGGGATTCCAAGAAATTTACAGATAAAACCTCTTTCTAATATCACGCAATGACATCAAAGAGAAATAATCTCACTTGTCCAATCCTGAACTAATTCCAATGGCATTCCTTGCCTGGAATAACATACCCAAAGTTGAATACTCAACACTATAACGCTGTATAGTTGCTTTCAGAAGAAAATTATATTGAACTACCCGGAAGAAAGTTGAACATGAACAATTGTAAATATATTGCATAATTTTATAGCTTCACACTCCATTTAATCAATTCATCCTTCCACAAAATTCTACAAAACTAAACAAGAAAAGAAATAGATGCCTAACCAAAACATAAAGGCGAGTCATCTTGAACTCCCTCACACAACTAACGTTTTCAACATACCATAGATTAGTGTGGGCTCCAAAAATTCACACCCAACTATATTGAGAGAGTTTGGTTCCAGATAAAAATTTTAGAAGGTAGATTGAATAGTAAATAAGACAACACTAGAAGATTTTGCCCAAATGTTGCGAGGACTTTAAGATCTAGTTTGGATTTCTCATACACGCAATCCCCTATAGCTAATTACCCCTCCCAGTAACCAGAGAGAGCTTTTAATTAAAACTAGTTAGATGCTAAACATATAGCATATAGTAGCAGCAATTTGATTATATATTGAGAAAATTTATCACATTTAACTTAAGAGTAAATAATGGAGGAATGATAACGAATTCGATCAAGATCTTATAGTTCCGTCCTCCTAACTTGTTGTGGACCCTAACTTATTTAGTTAGCAGAGATAGTTGTTGGGTCACATAATAGAAGAATTCTAATGAGTAGCCTGACTTGTGTCGTCCAATGGGTGTCTAAACAGAATTTTAAGTAAATCTAAAACTAACATAAGGCATTGTGTCATATTAAGTATATCATATGATACACAACATAGGGGGTTAAGCTATTGGGGAACTTGCAGGGTTTGGTCATAACTGTAACCTAATGGTCTTTAACCATAATTTATGAACATAGGTTCATAATCATTATCTAATGGTATCATTTGATTGTAAAACCACCCATTAGAGGATACCCAATAATTTTCTTTGGAAATTGGGGGCATTATGATAGCATCCCCTCTAATTGAAATTTACTTTCAATACAGACATCATCAGAGTATAATAGTTTGCATCATTTTATACTCAAAATTTTCCTCTCTTTTTTCTAAAAACGAACCCCTTTGATAATGATATGTGATAATCATGCCCATTAAAGAGGTATTAAAATGTCAAATCTACATGTTTACTTGCAAAGGAATGCGTTCATTGGCTTGCACTATTCAATTTTTTAAAACATTTATTATGTTACATATCATGTCGACTCTACCTCTTGTATATGGAGGATTAGGTCTATCCAAGCGCTGAACTTACGAGCCACCACACATAGGCAAGATTGCCTCAAGAGCTTACATTTCGAATATAAACTTTTTGTTAAAGGCTTTTGAAAGCCATACAACAACAACATCAAGCCTTTATCCTAGTATGTGGGGTCGGCTATATAAATCCTTTTGAAGGCCATGCAAACATATATTAAATTTTCTTTGGGAGATCTAAGTTGAGTGTTTAATTGCAAAATTGACATGATTGCACCGAGAGTATGAATTTAAAACCATCAGTTTAATCACAAATGCTTTGGATTGATTGCATGAGTATTCATGAGAAAGCACAAGTTATATAAACTCTTCTCTTCTGGGGGCTCAAAGGAATGAATTTCAAATCAAGGAACTTACAACCCAACTCTATATTGGAAGAGCAACTTGTTTGAAAATATCATGCAGCATATAAATGATTTTTTTAATCTTGAAAAGAGAGAGAGAGCAATTTAAAAAATTATATATATTATATGCTATTTTCAAAGTAGTGACATGATTCTTGGAGTGTAGGAAATTTGAATTCAACTTGTTTTTAATCCACGTAACATTCTTTGATCTTAAGTATAAGAGATTATCATATTTATCATAACACATTCAGACGAGCTGATTTGGGCAATTTGACATGTTTTCAAATGATTTGCACGCTCTTCAATGCATTTACATGGTCTATTTACAAACTTTTTCGTACAATTGTACAATGCATTTGAGTGCTTTTTGATGCATTTACAGTGTACTTTTTACTATAATTATATGATGCACTTCCACGATATATTTGCAAGCTAAGATGCCTCAATGCTTAGACATAATTATAAAAAGTAACCAAAATTTGATTGTTTAGGTGAATATTGTCATTTAGATTGCCCACAAATTTTCACTTTTGATTTTTTAAGGAGTGTCTTATATTTGCTTGCAAGTATGCATTTCAGATCCAGTGGCAAGTAACACGAGTTAAAATTTTATCACATGTTTCAACACATCATGATTTTTGCATTTTAACGAGAGGGGCTTCACAGAGAGAATCATTTCTCTCCTTATGAGTGGACATGATATGATATAGTGTGATATAAATAATAAATATCAAAACTTTTAAATTCCAATAAATGAGTTTCATAATGGGAATCATTTCTCCCAATTTTTTTGTTATAAATAGGGGTCATCCTCGTATTTACTCGTTTTAATCAAATTCTAATTCACTCCAAAATTTTGAAAAGTCTTGCATATTTTGTTTGAGTTAAAGAGTTACGTTCTTGTCCATATGCAAATTTCTCAGTCCAATGCAAAAGCTCGTTTTAATGTTCAACTTTGTTTTTTGAAATGATGACTATTGTATTTGAAAATCACAATCTATAATTTGGTTTTCATATTTATAATTTTATGTTTTTGTTCATTTCATTCTAGTAACATTCGTCGTCGCAACTCGCTTTGCATTTTTTTATTTTTATGTTTTCATTCTAGTAGCATTTTTTCATCAATAAGAGCTACCACAGGAAGTGCGAAGTCTTCACAGGCCAAAAAAAAATTTAATTATATTTTTAATCAGAAAGAGTTAAATCTAAAGCAGAGACGATGGTTAGAACTCATTAAAGATTATTACTTTGATATACAACATCATCCTAGAAAGAAAAATGTAGTTGCATATGCATTAAGAAGGAAGATTTTTGAGTGTTCAAATTTGTTGAGTACTCAGTAGAAGTTATATAATTAGAGATATGAAAAGATTAGAAATTTAAGTGATTAATCAGAAAGATATTGAAGTTATGATGTTAAATCATCTGGTGATTCAATCTACATTAAATGATAGAATAAGAAATTCTATCTCAAAATGTAAAGTTTCAAGAAATTATAAAATGCAAACATGATAGGTGGAAAATTTTATATTGGGTGATGAAGGACTGTTGAAATATAAAGGCATGATTGATATTCCAAATGTTCATAATTTAAGAGAAGAAATTTTCACCTCTCTAATTATGAAATTCATCTAGGCAGCACAAAGATGTATCAAGAGCTGAGGGGGTTATTTTGATGGCCAGGATTGAAAACAAGTATTGCAGAATTTGTAGCGAAATGTATTCCATGTCAAATGATTAAAGTCAAACATCAAAAGCCAAATGGTCAATTGCAGCCTTTACCAATACCTGAATGAAAATGAGAAGAAATTGCAATGGATTACCTAGGTCAAGGCAAAGTTGAGATGTTGTATGGGTTGTTATAGATAGATTAACCAAATCAGCTAAATTCTTATCAATCAAATAAACAGATTCAGCGAAAAAATTGGCAAATATATATGTTGATGAAATTGTGATATTGCATGGAATTCCAAAACTAATAGTCTGATATATATATGTCGATTCACTTCTAGATTGTGAAAGAAGATTCAAGAAGCTATAGGTACCACATTGACTTTCAGCACTGCATTCCACTCTTAGACAGATGGGCAATCATAAAAGGCAATTTAAATTTTAGAAGATTTACTGTGGCAATGTGTCTTGAAATTTGGTGAAATTTGGGAGACCAATATACATTTAATTGAATTTAAATACAATAATAATTTTCAATCTAGCATTGGAATGATGTCATATGAAGCTCTTTATGGAAGGAAGTGTAGAAAACCCATGTTTTGGGTAGAAACAGGTGAAAGAAAAATAATTGGCATGACCCACTTCATGATCCTGATATACCACTCATGAAAAATATTAAAGTTGATGCTCCTACCTTTGATGACACTCTTGATCCCCAGCTCTTCCTGGACTGGGTCAAAGGTATGGACAGTTTCTTTAAGTGGTATAATATCTCTGAGGCTAGGAAGGTCAGTTTTGCGGAGATGAAACTCACGGGTAGGGCGAGCCAGTTTTGGGCCAACTTAGAGAGCCATAGGGAAGCTATGAACGATTATCCCATCACTGATTAGTCATAAATGAAGCGGGAACTCAAGCAGAAGTACTTGCCTCCCTCGTACTTCTCCCTGACTATTGGATAAGTGGAATATGCTGACTCAAGGCAACAAACCAGTTAATGAGTACATCGCTTCCTTTGATGACTTCCTGATTCGTTGCAAGGGGGAGATCTCTACCACCCTCGCGCAGATCTTGTCTATGTTTCGGACCAGGTTGGAAGAGGATCTTTGCAATGAGCTGTTTGCCCCGAACGTCACTACCCTGGAGAATGCCTACATCCTAGTACTTGATTTAGAGGAGACCCGTTCCCAACACCCGAGCCGTTCACATGACTCTAGGACCTCATACAGACCATCCGGTAGTTCCACTCCTCACACTTCTGCTGCCCGACCCACTTATGGGAGCACGACCAAACCACCCACGGGTCCTGCACCTTGATCTGATTTTGGGAATAAACCTCCCACCCCGGATACCCCTTGATTCAGTCCCGGGACCAAGTGCTTTCGATGCCAAGGGTATGGGCATATCGCTTCTTAGTGCTCCAGTCCCTATAAAGTCTCGATCATTGAAGAGATACTGAGGACGATCTCGAGCCCGAGGTTGATCATATCCACCAGGTCGAGGATGAAGGCAAGTTCTTCGAGGAGGATGACGACACTACGGTCCTCCATTGCCTCAGAAACTGGATACCTCTACCCTCTGTGTGGTGAGATGTGCGCTATCACACCCGACACCCACTGATGACTGGCGTAGGACTGCGATTTTCTACACCTACACCAAAATCAAAGACAAGAACTGTAAGGTCATCGTGGATATTGGTAGTTTCATAAATGTTGTTTCTTCTAGCATGGTATCCAAGTTGGGTCTTTCTGTCGTTCATCACCCCAATCCGTATAAGGTAGCGTGGATCAACTCCACTGCCTTGGAGGTGAAAGAACGAAGCATCGTACCTATCTCCTTTGCCAACTACAAGGAGAACGTTTGGTGCGATGTATTGATTATGAATGTTGGACAAATCCTTTTGGGTCGCCCTTGGATCTATGATAACGATGTCCACATTTTTAGGCGTTCGAACACCTGCGTGTTCGAACATGCGGGCAAAAAGATTAAGCTTTTGTCATCGCAGTCCCGGGTTACGGACGACACAAAATCCGACCCTATTAAGTCCAAGAAAGGATCGAACCTAGTCACCACCAAGGTTCTGGACGTTGTGGTTGCTCAAGGCGCACCTCTATACGACTTAGTGGGTCGTGAGATTCCCGTCGAATCTCACGAACCTATTCCTCTGGAAGTCCAACTCATTATGGGACAGTATGTTGATGTCTTCCCCGATGATCTCCCAGATCAGTTACCCCTACTTAGAGACATTCAGCATGCCATAGACTTCGCCCATGGAGCCTCCCTCCCGAACCTGCCATACTATGGAATGAACCCCACGGAACATGTCGAGCTTAAAAAGCAGGTCGATGAGTTACTGCAACGATGTTTCATTAAGGAGAGTCTTAGTCCTGCGCGGTGCCAGCCCTTCTTACTCCGAAGAAGGACGCATCTTGGAGAATGTGTGTTGATAGCCGTGCTATCAACAAAATCACCATCAAATATCGTTTCCCTATTCCGAGACTGGACGATATGCTCGATATGATGATGGGTGCCACTCTATTATCCAAAATTGATCTCAAAAGTGGATACCACCAAATCCGGATCCGACCCGGAGATGAGTGGAAAACGGCTTTCAAGACCAAAGATGGTCTCTACGAGTGATTAGTCATGTCTTTTGGGTTAAGTAACGCCCCGAGTACCTTCATGAGGATCATGACTCAAGTGTTGCACCCGTTTATGGTAAAGTTTGTCGTCGTCTACTTTGATGATATTCTTATTTACAGTTAGTCGATTACCCAACACTTGGATCACTTAAGGCAAGTTTGTGAGGTCTTAAGGAGCAACTTTGTGCCAATCCCAAGAAATGTACATTCCTTGTAGATTGCGTCATCTTTTTGGGCTTCATAGTTTCAGCCCAATGAGGTTTTTGCAGACCTCGAGAAGGTGAGGGCCATTATTGAATGGTCTGTCCCTCAGAACATCTGGGAAGTCTGCAGCTTCCATGGATTAACCACCTTCTATAGAAGATTCATTCGAAGTATTAGCACTATCGTATCTCATATCACTGATAGCTTAAAGAAGTGTGATTCCACTGGACCCCGGTGGCCACCAATGCTTTTGATGAGATTAAGCAAAAAATGGTGGAAGTCCCAGTGACGAGACTTCCTGATTTCTCCAAAGTCTTCGAAGTAACTTGCAACGCTTCGGGGGTCAGAATTGGAGTCCTCTCCCAGGAAGGTCACCGTAGTCTATTTCAGTAAAAAACTAAATTATATTCGGAAGCGTTATTCCATGTATGACAAAGAGTTTTACGTTGTGATTCAATCTCTTCGTTATTGGTGACACTACTTGCTCCCGCAAGAGTTCGTCATTTTCTCGGATCAAGAAGCTCTCCGTTATATCAACTCCCAAAAGAAGTTAAATGCACGCCACGGTCGATGGGCCGAGTTCCAAACCCTCCTCCCTTGGCCGACCATACTTCATCTTTCCAACTTCAAGTTTAAGAGAAACTTCTTTCTCTTTAACGGAGTTCAAAGTTGCTAGTGATCTTCGAAAGCGATTGTCGTCTAGCATACATGAATGGCCGATCCAGATCTTGACTACAGCCTCACTACGACGAGCAGGGATTTGTTTGCATCTTGTACTCGACCTTCTTCAACGTCAACCCGCGCATCGAAAACACCATAGAAGAGTACGTAGAGTGCATCTTGGACACTTTAGTAGAGGCCATGGAAGAGCAACTTGGTACCGTATAGTGGAGGATTACATCCGAGCCTTGACAGAGGTCTTCCACTCTTCCTCCTCTTGTATTTCTTTAGTCTAATCATATTTCTTGTGATTTAATTCTAGTCAAGAAGATCGTATTCGTCTAACTCTGTCGAGCTTAGTAAACGTAGGGATTGAGTGCGATTCATTTATTTCTAATATTATTGTTAGATTAGGGATTTTCGTTGAAAGCTATTATATTTGCATGTTGTTGATTTCCTATATTCTTTTGATGATTCAAAGTTCTTATTTTGCAACTTAGCCTAAACGGAAGTGACCACTCTTACATTTTATTTCGTCGTTTTATTTGCTAATAAGTTCTAATTATTATTTCTCTAATTAATAAATTGTGCAAGCTCTTATAAAAATCACTTCAAGCATTGTAGTCCTACATCAATATCTCTATCTTGAGGACAAGGTGGATCTTTGGGAGGGGAGCATTGTTAGATCGGTCCACGCGGGACCAGCCCATGTGCGAATGAGGCAGAAAGCCTCCACCTCCTGCTTTAGCCGCACACACCGTAGGAGCTAACGAAGCATTTTAGGAAGGATTTTAGAGGGATTTGGGAGTAAAATTTGAATGTAGGGATTGTTTAGGGATTTCCTTTTGATTGTATGTATTAAATACTTTGTTTTCCTAGGGTTAGGGCATCTTGAATTTGGCAGAAATTTGAGATCTCTTAGATTTAGTTTTTTTTCCTTTGGGCTCTAGCGGCGTCTAGAGATTTGGGAGAGATCGATCCTCCTCTTGAATAGAGGATCAATTGTATCTTGCTATTTTCCATTTTCCTTTTATCAAATAATACAAATTATCTACTGTTTTTGTGGTTTTGTGTGGATTTTGGTAGAGAGCTCGTTGTTTTCCGAAGATTTATAGGAAATACTTGAGATCTACAAGTGTTTCCTATCAACATCATACGTAGTGAGATAAAAAAAGGAGAGTTTAAGCACCAAAAGGTTAAAATATAAGTTTCTTTCGAACTTGACAAATTTGTTTTGGTAATTTTCCTACTTATCTTCCAAAACACAAAAATTACATTATCCAATTAAACATCATAGACCCGAAACAATATTAATTTTACTTCATTGTGCCTAGAAAACTTACAATGTGAAATTAATGTCCTAATCCTGCAAAAAGAAGAACACTCACTGATTATGAGAATTTATTTTGGGCATCCATCCATTTCTTGAGGATTTTACAAATAAGCAACGCCTTTTCATCAGGCCTTGTTAGCAGTAGATTTACTTCGAAGGTTAGGACATGTCATTGAGTTTTATTTGTCAATTAGCTCTCTCTTTTTTTTTTTTAATTTTAAGTAAAGCATGATGAAAGGAGTGCCATCAAATCTATGGATCTTCTATTAACCTAAAAATCCACCAATAAACATTTGTCATGTTTTTGTTACAGGTTTTGGATAGATATACATCGGTTCCATCATCTTTTTTATTAATGTTAGCTGAGCGCAGGTTCTTGTACGATATATCGGGGCTCCATCATCTTTTCTAGTAATGTTGACTGAAACTACTCAGTGACAAATGATTTCTTCCATAAGCACACACTATATCTCCCAACAAAGGTTTAATTAACACACTTAATAGAAAATATGAATATCAAAATGAATAGATTCACAAACATTTTAATGGTTTAGGTGCTGAAAGACAAGATCTGCATGTTAATGTAAGTACAAAATAACAGAAAACCGATATGAACTTCAGCGGATGACATTGAATCAACTAAAATAACGGGTAATTTAAACCAGATAAAGAAATGAATATAAAGGTAAATATATCCATGAGATGCAAATTCTAATACAAACTACATGGATAACTTAATATTTGTGAATATATAAATAACCTCTTGAGTCTTGACACTATATTCAAATCCCCAAAGCAGATGAGGCTCAAAAATCCTAAATGCACCACTCATTGCAGTTCTTAACTTTAGTGCAAACACATTCCTATAGATGCAAACATGATTGAAACAACCTAAGAATGATTGTTTACAAGCCATTCGGGAATGAAACAACCAAACAACCGATAAATGTGTTCATCTCGATCATTACATCTTCAATTAACTCTACATGTGGACAATCACAAGTTGTGGATGCATAAAGTGCCATATTAAAGCATTAGGAGGGTTTACTCCAAAGGGGAACCGAGCATAAAGCACAAACATTATAAGAAATTTAACAAAGAACTAATTTTTTTAAAAAATTATATTTCTTCCAAGAGGAAGATCACCCATCTTCAAGAAAGAAATAGAACAAATGATCTCTACCATGCAATGCCCACATCACCAACACCGCCGTTACCAAAACTGAAATATAAAGAGTATAAAAACAAGCACAAATACTTCACAAGAAGTGCGATTGAAGAGCATCCAACCGCAAATTTTAATGGGAGCCTCAAGCTCGAGCAGATTGGGTTGCTGCAGAAAGATATCACGTGACACAACACAGAGCTGGCGAATCTCCGCCTCCGAGAGCTGCACCTGCTTTCCTGGCTTCCCTCTCACCTCCAGCAGCCGCCGTATGATATCATCCACAAGACCACTATCCATCAATCACTATCCTCCCCTCTCCAAACCCTAAAACACAAACCAAACTAAACCAAACCAAAACAAGCCCTTTTCTTCTATTCTAGGAAATCGATCGGACTTAGTACCAAGGCCTCTGCGGGGTTAAAAGCGAGGATTGCAAGGTAAATAACGGAAACTTCGCTCCCCAACAATTCTTGACCTAGCCAACACCACGATCTCTTGAAATAACATCCCTCTCCGCCTCTCTCCTCTCTTTCCCGTACCTTGTTTCCTTTCAATCCTAGCAATCCTCGGAGTAAGAGGTTTCTCCCTCTCCCTCCCCCTCCCCCTCTCCCTCTCCCTCTCCCTCTCTCCTACGATGTTCGATTGACTTCGAGCGGATGAAGCTGAACACAGAAAGTTGGCAAGAAGATGCTGAGACAGAAGGACAGCTTATTACAGCGGTGGAGCGCATAAACTTTCTATGCGATACAAGTGATCGACCATGAGAAGCTAAACAAGGAAATGCGATTGGTTCAGAAATCTGAGTATGCGGACGGTCGTGTGTGAAGTTAACACAGCCTAGCATGAATGGATGATTAGTACAAATATGAAGTTGATGGTCGTCTTCTTTGGTCGCGAATAGGACGTGCCGTTAAAAGAGGGTTCTTTGTAGTGGAAATTAAAAAGATTATTTACTATAATATTTTTAACTCTGAATGATTCAAAGGGCAAAGAGACCTTCATCCTATTGGAAGATAAAAATAATATTTATTGAGCTATTTTTAACTCAATTATTTGACATGAATAATTATCTCTTAAATACTTTATTCATAACTTATATAATTTTTTAAATTTGCATAAATGATATTTAACCTTTAAATTAGGGCAATTAATATTGGTAGAATTTATTTTATTTATTTTCTAAATAATAAATCTCATTCTCATTATTTTTTTGGATGTCTCTAATCAATATAGTTAATTGAGAATTTTCTTTTAAGTGATTATTTAATCAAATTTTTTTTCTTTGGAATGTTAAAATTCAAAACATTCTAATGGATATAATATGATTATGAAGCTTTAACTTTTAATTTTAAGTGTGTTGATTTACAATATATTACTTGAGAGGAATCGTATAATTTATATATTGAACCTGCTAGAATGATAAAAAGATGAAAGTTGAATGACAATTTGGCCCAAATATGTGTGTTAATTGCATCGGTCGTCGTGGATGGAGCCATAATCATCTCTTAATTTGTTCCTATACATCATTCATAGCTTTTAAACCTTTTTGTTAGCATTTGTTGTTCTTTGTTTTCATGCCTCCCTATAATTTTTGTTTAGTAACTCTGGTAGAGGTTTTACATCTTCGAATGAAATATTCATTGAATTTACAAATTTATGCCATAATATTTTGGTCGGTTACATTGTATGGATTTCTTGGGGAGAATTCTTGAGTTGAAACGTTCTTTGTACAAAAATTTTAACTGTTTCATAAATCAAATTTTTAGTACAAAAAATTAATTTTTGTATTAAAAAGTTGTTTTAAGAAGCAGTAAAAAAACAGTCCCAAATAAAATCAAAATCTTTATATATGACTTTTATTGATATATCATCAATGGCGAATGGCGATTCAATAGCTAGTAGGCAAGCCTTATTATGCCAAGTTTGGATCGAACAAATGATACATGCTTGTTGCCCTTATTTTTATATAATTAATAATTAATTCATTTTAATATAATATTTTATTATATATATGAAACTTAAAGTAAACATCTAAATGAATATAATAAAATTATAATTATGCTCAATTTCACTAAGTGTTATATAATTACATTATTAAACATACTTAAGACCTAATTGACTTAGATGACACAATTAGCTAAACTAAATGAGGTGCATGGAACATATAGAATCTATTAAACTTGCTTCTAACTCACCCATTCATGTACAAGTTGGGGAAGATATTGTGAATGAGAAGAAGGATAATATGTAGGTCCTTATCATTTATTGTATCATTCTTTCAATGACTTAGCATGACAAGATGTAGGAGGATTTAACCCATCTCTTACTATTATATGTAATTAGAGGTGCAAACGAGTCGAGTCGAATCGAGTTTAGGCCCTTATCGAGCCGAGCTCGTTAGTAACTTAGTTAAAATTTAAAAAAAATTATGAAATGTTTAATATTACATAAAATTAGTCATTTTTGTTACAGATAAATGCTTTAATTTTTGCAACACACCCACTACATTCAATGTAATTTTAATGTTCTTTCATAGCACACGAATGCTTTATATTACATAACAAGGGAGCTGATTTGGCACCACCTAAAGAGCCATAGGCCAGGCATTATTATCTTAGGTGAAATATTTGATCAAGACTATAGTGCAATAATTTATGCATTTAAAAAGTTGAAGATACAGGACTTGTTTAGGTTGCCTAAACAAGTGCTTATGTATGTTATTAGAGATGACAAGAAGTTCATGATGTATTGGAATAATGCTAATTTCATACTTTTTTAATGAATGGGAACATAGTTTATTAGATAATATATGAGGTTTCACTGCCTACGAAAATGCTTGTTGTATGTGTAATAACTCAAACATGTAAAATAAATTTATTTGAAAAATATGAAAATGTTGAAATATAGCATTTTGGCGCTGATCTGGTAAGCGTTGTAGCATTAGGCTATGAATAATATATATTTGTATATATATATATATATATCCCTGCCTCATCACAATGACTCCCTTAATTGGTTGTTTGGCTCGGAAGAAATTAAAGATGGGAAGAAGAGAGAGGAGAGAGAAAAGTTTTTGGATCATATTTGTTAGTCATTTATGTTACAAATTTTATTTTATTCATTGAAAGTGGCCAATCTCTTATATTTTCAATGATTTTGATTTTTATGATTTTTAATTTTTTATCTCTCAAAAATCTACAAAAAATTGTATTACTCCTGATTTCATAAGCTTTCACCGTACAAGTTTGAATATGTTAAATTTTATCTCTAAAAAATCTACAAGAAATTATATTACTCTTGATTTCATAAGCTTTCATTATACAAGTTTGAATATGTTATAGATTTGATCATTTTGAATGATTTAATATGATTTTATTGTATTTTAAATAAAGTACTAATGATATCAAATACACAATATGATAACCCCACGTGACATCCTAGTGATCCACTTGATTTACAGATTGTAAGTTATAAGGAGCTAGAGATTGATTGGAGTTATAAGGAGTATATTTATTGAGAGTTATAAGGGGCGACTGAATGTGAGTTATAAGTGTAAAAGTAAAATATCCTTAATATACACTCATTGAATATATGAATATTGATAATGACACTACTACAAACATTGTATTGATATTATAACTGACACTAATATTGTCTATTGTCATTAAAATTTTTTAACATTATTAATTATGATACTAATATTGTTACTAGCATTAATATTATTGATTGTTACTAATATTGTAACTGATGAATTATATAAGAATAAATTAATACAGATAATCATTATAGACATTGATGCATATATATTCTTTATATGAGTTATAACATATTGTTCTCTTTTACCTTGTATTAATTTCAAATGTAAAATTTTAATTACTTCCTGGAATATGTGCTCATTACATAATTTTATATGTTTTAAGTAAAGTGTAAGGATCCTATGATATGAGGCTTCGAATAAGACAAATAAAAACAGATTTCTTTATGCTGTTTATTGATAAACTCTAGTTAAATGGTTAAATTGAAACATAGATATAATTTAATAAATAATCCATTTGAGCCGTGTTCGAACTAAGATTATAGTTTGTTTGAATCATGCTCGAACAATATTCAAATGTGATTTGAGCTTTGTTCGAACTAATATCAATCCTTATTCAAATAATATTAGATCATTTTTCAAACTTTGATCGAATAATGTTTGAGTATTCTTTTAACCCTATTTGAACCTTCTTCGAATCATGCTTGAAAGTTGAAACTTATTTGAATATTTACAATCTTACTTGACTTTGTTCAAGTATTCTTTCGAGCCTTATTCTATTGAACCTTGTTCGAGTAGAGAAGAATCCTAGTTTATTTTGAAATTTATTGGAAGCTTAGTTCAAATCAATTTGAATCTTATTAGAAGCTAGTTCAAAATTTGTCTAAATAATTTCATTTTGATGAACTTCAATAAACAATCCGTGAATATTATCAGAATAATTTCATCCATAAAGAAGATATAGTTCTCCGAGAAAATACACAATATAAATATTTATCCCATTACAACTATCATAATAAGTCATGCAAAGTTAAATTTACCCAACTAATAAACCTCATTAAGTTGAACACTGTAGCTGTCCTTTTCCACAAAGGCACTGTTGTTGTTCATCCATGTCCCTAAATGGCCAAGAAACTGCACTCTCCTCTGCTTGTAATCCAATGTATTTAGCCACACCCACTTAGTTATCTCATGTGCATCATTTTTTATTAACTGAAATTGATAAAGTAATTGAAATTCTCAAAGGAATAACACTTTTTGATATTCTTTAGTAAAAATGATAGTGAGACTTATTGGTTGTTGAGTGTTATAATGACGTAAATCTATTGACATTTGACTCAGAAGAAGATAATGAGTGCAAAATTATACTCATATGCCAAACAGATCCATGGCATAGCGGGAGACCTCAAAAATAAACATTTAACCATCGTCCAATAATCCTAAAGATTTTGCTAATAGTAATTGTACTAAATTGGAAGATAAACGTGAGACAGAGCACTCTACCAAATCAAAAGTGTTTTATCAAAATTTGAAGCTAAGGAGGTTAAAGTAATATAAATTCAAAGTGAGGATTTCATGAAAATTATATAAATAAATATTAGCAAACACATAATATATATAATCATAATTATATATCTAATCATAACATTAATTAAAAATAAATATTAATTTAATATATTTTTGATTTTATATTGAGTTAAAAATAAAAATATTTAATTTTAATTTGAGCCAATCTAACTTAACTCAACTCAATACCTTGCTCCCCCCTCCCTCCACCTACAATAGCTCATTAGGTACAACTAGGTCTTGCATCAAGCTCCATGCAAGTTAACCTAGTCATATAAAGAGCATCTTCCTTCTCTCTCTCTCTCTCTCTCTCTCTCTCTCTCTCTCTCTCTCTCTCACACACACACACACACTCTCTCTCTCTATTGAAAAAAGCCTAAATCAGTAAAAAGAAAGAGAAGGTAAATAGACAATGAGCCAAGAAAGGACCACAAAGACTAGAAATTATTCTGTGCGGACGCCGGATGCAGCTCTATATTCGGAGAAAAATCAGGTCAAACCACATCAGCGATACCGAACTGCGGTACTGAGAGAAGGGGTAACATGGCGCATTCTGTCAGACGACATTTGACATCCGCATAGAATAATTTTTCCACAAAGACATGTTGAGGGCAGTCATTGAGGTAAAAGGTTAGAAAGAAGGGCAGTGGAATTAATGGGTACTTTCCTACAATGCCTAAGAACTTAGGCTTTAGATTCTTTCTCTAAAGGCTTTCAATGTTCATTGATGAGACTCAAGTGTATCCATCTCTGAGTTACAGTTCATGTCTGCCAGATGGATCCTAACCCATCATGTCACTTGGCCCATCTCAACCCCCACCACCCTATTGCTATCAAAAGACACACCAAGCTAACTTTTACCCTCACTTCATTTCCCTTTATTGGCAATTGCCCTGTGAAGCATCACCCATTGTAGCCTTCTAGCTTTTATGTGGAGGAAAGTTATGAGGTAGGAAAGCCAAAGATAATTTAAAAAAATATATATACTGACAATTTGACAGTGAAGTAAAATTATATTTATTACACAATCTTGTAAATGTTAAGAGAAGAATGAAGAAGAGTTGGAAATAAAATGAGAGATATGAAGTGGATCTGGTGATACCAAATGTTGGGGATTTTTTTTTTTGAGGAAAGATTATGATAAAAAAATTGAATGAAACTCAACATTATTCAAACAATATTAAAAAATGAGGAAAAATGATAGAAGTTTAATTCAGGGTGTGGCGACTATTATAAGATTTAGGTTTAGCATGTGAAGGTAGTGGGATAAAGGCTTGTTGTTGTTGTATGTGAAGGTTGGCACATACTGAGGAGGAATTATTCTGTGCGGGCACCGGATGTAGCTCTGTGTTCGGAGGTGAATCAGAATGCGCCACACCACTCAGTACACAGCGAGTACACATCAAGGAGGTGACGTGGCGTGCTCTGATTTATCTGAAAAACAAAGGTATCTGAGAAAGCTATCAAAAATAAACCCTAAATTTGATATGTAAAACACATCCTAAGAAATGGAGGTAGATAAATATAAGAAAATGAGCTAATATCTTTATCATGCATGGTATATTATCTCTCTTAATTTCTCTGATAGTACACAGTAAAATAACATGAAATATAAAGCACCCATTGCATATTTACTTGTGCTACCCATATTTTTCCATCAACAGTATGACAAATACAACACTTCAACACCAGCATTACATGTCACCTCACTGCTTAGACACAAACCAATTAAAAAAAAAACCAAAGTTTGAATCACACATTAATGAGTCACCTTCTCATGTCCTCAGGTGAAGAAGATAGGAATAAAGAATTCTTTTTTATGTTTACTGGAGCTTCCATTTCCAATCTTCTTTACCTCTTTTCCTCTCCTCCTGTCTTCTCATGGCCTCCCTTTTTTTTTTTTTTGTACAACTATCTCTCCTATTGCTTCCACATGTGCTCTCTTTTCAAAACCTGACCCAGCTCTTTCTCTTCTCTGTCTTTCACTAAGATCTCCTGATCTCAGTGCATTCCTCCTCATTTTCATTACCATTATACTTAACAATTTCTACACCTTCCATGCCTCAAGAAACACAACCAGACTCTTCAGAGTCCAGCTTTCCCATACTGGCTATCTCAGTTATAGGAATTATTGCCACAGCCATTATCCTCTTTAGCTACTATGTCTTTGTAACCAAGTGCTGCCTAAATTGGCAGCACTTTAGAATCATCTTCGACATCTCTCGCTCTGGTCGCCGCCACCGCCGCGATGGCGGCGGTGGCGGCGACCTTTTCGCCTTCTACTCGGCCATCATGGACGCCCATGGGCTCGAAGAAGGCGCAATTCAGTCGATACCGAACTTTCGATATCAAAGAGGTCGGGTTCAGTGCTCCTTCCATGAATGTTCAGTGTGTCTGAATGAATTCCAAGAAGAAGAAAGGATAAGAATGCTCCCCAATTGCTTTCATGTGTTCCATATCGATTGCATAGATACATGGCTTCAGACACATAAGAACTGCCCAATCTGCAGGTCAGAAATCACAACCACATCACCATTACTCACAAATGAAATCACAGAGCGTAATTTCAATCAGAATTATTCTGATGAAAGGGAGAGCTTGGTAGCTGAAGTGAGGGAAGATGAAGCAAGGAGAACAGAGAGAAGGTTTGAAGGGAGGACTGTGAGGAAGATGACTCAAGTTTCAAGTATGGGAGATGAGTGTATTGGCATGAGAGGTGAAGGGAGGGAGTTTGGAGTTCAGCCAATGAGAAGATCTTTCTCTTTGGATTCTTCCAATGATAGATTGCTCTGCATTGCAGTTCAGGAGATATTGCAAAATAACAAAAATTTACAAGCTTTGAGCAATGGTGAGGGAAGCAGCAATGGCAATTCTGGTAAGGTTAGAAGGTCCTTTTTCTCATTCAGCCATTCTAAAAGCTCTAAGAGCGCAGTTCTTCCAATCCAAAGCTAGTTTGTTTTTCACTTACTGAGTCTGTGAGAGAAAATTGCTGCACTAAATTAGTGAAGAGAATCTCAGGGTTTGTTTTCTCCTTTTACAAATTACAAGCACCCTTTTTTTTTATATGACTGGAACGTTAATCTTCAACAATTAAAATTTTATTTGTGAATGATGATGCTGCTATTTACTAAAGTTGTTGTAGAATTGTTTTAAGAAATATAAATAATTACAAATTATTATAGATATATATCTATTTGTTTTCCTTAAAGATGGAGTAGCTCTAGTGACAAATAAGATCAGAAATAATCACCTTGGATAGTTTGAACACATAAAATGTTGACCTTCCAATGACCTGATTAGGAGAGCAGATGCATTGGATTTGACCTATGTTAAGAAAGACAGAGTTATATCTAAAAAGACTTAGCTAGAAAAATATCAGAAATAACTATCTATTAAATTTAAATGAGAATTCGACTCCTGACAGGATAGCCGAATCCAACCCATCTTTATTAGATTTAAATGAGAATTTAATTTTTAATAGGTCACAATGGAGAAAAAGGATTCATGTAGCAGACTTCACATAGTAAAATAAAGGCTTGATGATTTTGTTGTTGTAATCGTAAGAAATTATTTTAATAATTGAAACAAACCTAATACTATATTGAGGCTTACAAGAATATGAAGAAATTTAGGGAGGAATTTGGACTAGTCATGTGTGCTATCTTGCATTTTCGATGCCATGAAAGCTACATGAAAAGAGGGGACCATAGGAACTTAAAAAAAAGGTTTAAGAGAATGAAAGATTAGCAAGCATTGGTAGCTAAAGGCACCAAACTTCCAAATGGTGTTCACACTCCATACTAGGTAGAGATGTCAATATTTGACCCGACCCGAAAACCCTACCCGAACCCAACCCGAAAATTTTGGGTTCGGGTCAACCCGAACCCGAACCGGGTCGGGTTCGGGTAAGGGATTTCGACCCGTTTGTAAAACCGGGTCGGGTTGACCTGGAAACCCGAAATCAACCCGGTTTGACCCGGATTTAATTAATTTAAGAGGATTTTAAAGGATTTTTATGAAATAAGTAAATGATATTTCAAAAAATTATAAACATTGTTGTCCAAATTAAATTAATCTTGATTTATTTTAAATTAATTGAAGTAAATCTTTCCTTAATTTGATTTAGATTTAAATAAATTAAATTAAATAAAAAATACCCGAAGCGAGTCGGGTTCGGGTTCGGAAAACCATAAAAAAAATTAATGAAATATACGCGAAGCGGGTCTGGTTTGGGTTGACCCGAACCCGAAGCGGGTCGGGTTGAACAGTATCGGGTCAATTTCGGGTTGGATCCGAACCCGACCTGTGACCCATTTTTGATAGCTCTATTACTAGGAAATACAAGCATGCTTATTGAGAGAAATTACACTTAGAACCCTGACAATGTTATGAATTTACTCCTGGTTTTGTAACTGAAAGAGACATCACAAATGAAATGTAATGTAAAATGAAGCAAAAATAAATAAATATAGAAATTGTATTATAAAATAAAATAATTTAAACAACTTTAAGTTCACACAATTGCATTACTTTTTAGTTGTGCTTTCATTTAACTTATGCTTTATAATTGTTTTCTTTCTATTTAAAAATAATAATAATAATTTATAATTAAAAGATGATTTTAGCCATCAAATTTTTTGATTTGTTGGAGCTATAAAAATTCTACTATTCAACTTTAAAAAAAAAACATATTTATAATATCTAAAATAGCTTTCAAATAGATTACAATTTTACAATTATCTTTATAAAAAATTACAACTCATGGGATCTATTTGAGATGGTTGTAATTTTTCTCGATAAATATTGTTATAAAACTGCTGTGAAAAAATTGATTTTTTTAAAAGCTACCCAAATAAGCTGATTTCTAGCACAAAATTTTCTTGAAAATAATAATCAAGTAGAACTATTATTGAAATCCAAGAAATAAAATACTAAGAAAATTATCCCACACAAAACCTTATTGTCATTATTTTAATGGGATTAATAATAATAACTTTTTATAAGCTTTAATTATCAACAATAAAAGCCTTGTCAAAGAGAAGATTTGTAATTTTAAATTATTAAAATATTTTCAACTATTTAAAATTAGTGACATTTTTATTTGTTTTGTTTAACATCCTTGATTAAAAAAGATTAATTTTCTGGCATAATCAATAATGATTATAATTTTTATTAATCCCTTCATAATTTTTTTAAGAGATTAAGAATCCGGCTCCATTGGATTTTACTAACAACTCAATAATTTTAATTTTATGATATCAAAAATGCCAAGCAAACTTCTCATTAAGCTGGCATTACACCTAATTCATCAATAAACCATATTTCTAAACTTAATTAATCTCCAAAAGACCCACTAAGCATAAATTATATAAACTTCCAAGCACAGGTTACTATTTGATGACATAAGCTTAGTTTTATAAAAAATATAATTTATTATATAACATAATTTACTCAAAATATAAATATTTTAACCAAAATGATTAATTTAACGCATCATCAAACTTTATGCAGGAGCGTATAGCCACACCGCATGTAGAAATGGAGAAATCATTATGTGCGGAAATCAGACACAATGTCGTCCTGAGATCAACCATAATGCGTCATGTAAGCAATACCTAGCCCCGGTACCGAGCCGGAATATCGAGCAAGGGGTGATGTGGCGTATTCTGATTGATCTCCGGACGACATTCATCGTCCGTACAGAATAATTAATCGTGGAGACGAGCATGAGTTGGTGCAGAAAGTGCTGACAAATCATGAAAGGAACTCAAGGAGTTGCTGGAGACGACAACGACCTGCATGTTTGGCATTTGACACCATCATATCAGAATATAATTCACACTTTCTCTAACAATCAATCATAAAAAGTGCAAAAAAGTCTAAAGTTCTGTAAAATAAGACATTTATTAAGAAAATTTGAAACGTTAAGAACTTTGATTTGGCATGCTGTAATAATATTCATGAAACTAAAAGTTGGAAGATAGTATATATACAGAACCTGCTGCAAAGTTGGGAGCACGAAATATAAAGCATTTTTGACAGATAAACCCGTAGTTGGTTTCCCTTACAAAAATTATTGGACCTGAAACCATTAAAAATTTCGTAGGCTCTCTGCTCTAGGGACCTTTCAAACTTTGACCAATAGCTTGCTCAGATTTTTTAAACATGTAGAAGTAGGAGTTGCTGCCTGGAAGATATGAGCTGAAGCATGGTGAGGCAGGTAAAGTGATTAACATGCTGTTCAAATGACTACAAAAAGTGACATGCATAGGCTGCTAGCCTGGTACTAGCAAACCACATCTAAGTACGAAAATATATGGTAAATCAATAGGCCAAACGCCTGGATATTTGCTTGCGGATGAACAGTGCAACGTCAATTCACCAACATAATTTTTCTGTCACAGCAGGATTTGTCGAAGAAACGTGTCAAAGAGGAGAAAGATGATTACCTTTGCAGAAGCCCGCAAAATGGAGCTCGATTGGAGTGAATCACTACATTTTGGAGTGAAAAATGAGTTTTTTGATTGGAGATGCTCTGAGTATCAGGTGGTTTGCACTTACCGCCAATCTATAGGAGTAAAAATACAAGGCAGCTGCAAGATTTATGAAGAAGGTGAACAGAGGAATTCATATCCTGAGATAAATACATGAGTTCTTAAAAATATGCCATGTATAATCTATTTTTTGTTTTTTGTTTTCACTTTAAAGCTTTGGAAGCATCATATGAGGAAGACAGAAAGAAATGGCTAAGGAAACATGGTATATTTTGAATCTCTCATCTAAAACATCCTTGGAACATCCTAGTGATTTCTTTTTCTGTGAATGGAGGACTAAGGCCCGATTGATTGCCATTAAGAGGGAAAAAATTTGGGTCACTAATCAAGATAAATTTTCTCGTCATCAAATTAATTTGAGATGAATATAATATAAGAATTAATTAATTAATCCTATCTTATATTTATCTCAAAATAAATTTTATTTAAAACTCATCATGATCAAATATAAATCAGAATTTCCTAACTCAAAATTTCTCCAACTCTTCGAGCGGAGAAATTATTCTGTGCGGAGACCGAACGCAAAAGGCCGTCCGGAGACCAACCAGCATGTGCCACGTTAGCAATACCGAGCAGTACCGAGTATAGAGTGACGTGGCACATTATGGTTGGTCTCCGGACGATGTTCAACGCCCGCACAGAATAATTAATCCTTCAAATGAGGTAGTGATAGAGTTCCCCAAAGTCAGCATCTAAAGTGGCATATGTCACTTCCTTTTTGAGGTAAACATGATTTGATGCCCTCGTGACTTCATGCTTGAAGCTACTCCCATATGCTCCTCGCACATCAATTATTTTCCCACGTCCTGAAAACCAAATAGTTAATGAGAAGCAAAGCTTAATTAACCCACCAGAAAAAAAAAAAATCCAAGTAAAAAAGAAGCTCGCCTGGGTACTAACACCTTAATAGTGACATGCCTGAAAAGTACACGACGCACTACATTCTAGACTCTTGCCCGAGTGCCTAGGTAATTGCTTGGCTCAACTTTAAAAACTTTATTAAAGCTACATCATCCGAATCAATTTAGTATTAAAGATCAAAGCATTACAGCATTTTATTCATATTTATTTTCTACCTAATTTATCATCCCTCCACAAACTCAAAATTCATGTTGTCAACATTCGCACAGCAATTTTTAACCTTGTCGGTTTTTGATGTTAATCAATCCATCTCAGAACGAGATAATATAAAAGAATAATAGAAGAAAAAACGTGACAGTTATTATCCATGTTCTTTTTTTCCTTTAGACAGCACTCATGATACAAAGAATAGTTTCGACGGCATAAACAACCACTGTTTGTAGTCCACCTTCACTGCCACCCCAAGGTTTGAATTTATTATTCTGTGTGGAGTCTGGAGGGCATCCGGAGACCAATAAAAATGAGCCACGTCACTCCAAAAATGTACCGTGCTCGGTTCTGCGCTCGGTACCAAGCGCGTAACCGGACGCGAGAACCTTCTGGTGTCCGCACATAATAATAGCTCCAAGGTTTGAGGTTCCATGCATGCCTACCACAAGAAAAGCCGGCCTATTAGAGTAGCGACTAGTGACTACATTCATATGGTCCTATCAATATGCTATTTTAGCATGATGTAACGCAAGGAATCTAACTTAGAAATAATAGAAAAATACTCAAGGTTCGAACTTCAATTCATTCATCAATTCATGGATGAATGATAATGGCAGAAATTTTAGCATATTCCCCTATGACCTCACTAACGGCATGATCAGCCTTCGCATTACAACATTTTAGCTAACCATCACAGCATGAAAGACAAGCTCTTTGTGATAACGCAATTGTTAAATAAATAAATAAGTTGCAGAGCTTTTTCTCTATCTTTATCCAAGAAATTTTTGCTAGACTACCCAAACTAAAACCCAAAACACATCCTGGCAACTTATGTAGATAGGATCTCAGTGAGACCTAGTTCCCCGCCTCAGTACTCCTGTCCTCACTTTGGGAATACAAAATGAGGGAATAAATTGTATTTCTTAGATTTAATGCTATTACCCAACCACATAAGTATAATCAGTCTCTACGGTTTAATTTATGGACCCTCTCAGCTTGTTTTCTAATGTCATAAAAAAGAAACGGGTATTATTCTCGCTGAAAAATAATTATCCAATAATCAAGGTATTGCAACATACTAAAAGAGCCATTTTTGAAGGTTTAACTAGAGTAAGGGAATAAGAAGGCTCCCAAATATAAATCTATAACAATCGCGTGAAACAAAAGGAGTGATTCTTATCAACGAATGACAGCAGGATGGGATAAAACATATAAGTTGTCAACACATTGAAACCTGTCTTGGGATTGTGTAAATTATTTTCCAAGTGCAAATGTCTAATGCAGAAATGGTGCAATAGAAGAAGTTGCAGTGATTCAAAGCTTTTGCATATGCTTATGAGATGGCCAATAAAAAATAAACCTAATGCAAAGCATAAATGGTTAAGTAGATTTGAGAGTTTTAAGCCATCCATCACAATCTTTTTTTTTTTATGTATACATAAAAGTGTTTTCAAAGTATAAGTAACAATCTAACAAAATATAAATATAAATATAATTATCGTTAAACTAACACAGATCCCAAGGCATTCCTTTCATATTTCTCATTTTCTAAGCTTAATCAAAACTTTCACCTTCTCCTATTTGGTACCCCACAATTAATTGGTAAAGCTAAAGATAGATAAAAAAGATATGAAGAAGAAAAATCTCAAAATAATAATAATAATTTTAAAAAAGTGATAGCTTTGTTAAAATAGGTAACAAAATAATATGTAGATGAAAGATTTTTTTGAGATAAGAGGGGTAGAACAAGTTAAAATAAAAACTCAATTTTATGTATATCCTCACTTCGAATCCTGTCTTTAAGAGTAAAGCTAGTCATCCACCCAAGCATCCTCATCTTTGTAACGCTTAACTTAATATTATGTTTCTCTTTTAATGGACAACATTCTGCATCATAAACCATTGCATGTCTCACTACCATCTTATAGAAATTTCCTCTAAGTTTGAGAGAAACTTTTCTATCATCACATAACAAGCCCGATGCATTCCTCCACTTCAACCATCCAACTTGAATTCTACATTTCTACTAATAATATCCCCATCTATTTCACCATCAATATGAACAATAGACCCAAGATATCTAAAATGTGTGCTCTTATTAATGATTTGATCGCCCAAAGTAACAATCCCCCCACTACATCTATTACTTTATCAAAATTACATTACATATATTTAATTTTAGATCTACTCAAACGAAAGCCATTAGACTCTAAGGTTGATGTCCATAATTCAAGTTTACCTTCAACTCCCTCTCTAGTCTTATCAACAAGAAGAAATATCATCAACAAAAAGCATACACCATGGTACAACCTCTTGAAAATGTCTAGTGAGGACATTCATGACTAAGGCTTCGTTTGGGACCGCTTTCTTTCTGCTTCTTAAAGCAGCTTTCAATTACAAAAAATTTAATTTTCTGTACTTGAAAGCTGCTTTAAGAAGCATAAAGAAAACCGCCACCAACGAAGCCTAAATCAAAAAGATATGGGCTTAAGGCTGATCCTTGATGTAATCCAACTGAAATAGGAAAATACTTGGTCAAACTACCTTGTGTTTGAACACAAGTAATAGCCTCCTGCATACATATCATTAATGACTTGAGTATAAGTATTATTGACCCCTTTCTTTTCGAGAACAGTCTATAGAACTTCTCTTGGAACTTTATCATATGCTTTCTATAAATCAATAAATATCATATGTTGCTCTTCTTTATTCTCTCTATACTTCTCTATCAAACCTCACAATAAATGTATAGCTTCCATAACAGACCTACCCGGCATGAATCCAAATTGATTTTGAGAAACATTAGTATCATGCCGCAACCTATGCTCCATTAACTCTCTCCCATAGTTTTAAAGTAATGACACATTAACTTAATTCCTCTATAATTTGCATAATCTTGTGCATCGCCTTTATTCTTAAAAATAGGAATCAACACACTCATTCTCCACTCATCTGACATCTTTTTAGTCTTCAAAATGATATTATATAGTTTAATAAATTAAGAAATTCCTTCATCTCTTAAGCATTTTCACACCTCTATTGGAATATCATCAGGTCCAATAGCTTCTTCATACTTCATTTTCTTTAAAACCTCTTTAACTACGGTTTTACTAGTATGCCGATAAAAACAAAAATCTTTATTTTCATTTAGGGTGCTAAGGTCACTAAAGTCCATTGCATTCTCATAATCTTCGTTAAAAAGTTTAGCAAAATATCTCATACACGTTTGTTGAATATCCTTTTATAATAAAAGCATTTTTTTATCTTCATCTTTAATATACTTCAGTTGAACTAAATCCTTACTACTCATATCTCTTTGTTTAGCTAACTTATACATATAATTTTCGTCCTCCTCAGTATCTAATTTATTATATAAATAATTAAAAGCTAAAATCTTTACACTGCAAATTGCTTTTTACACGACAGGAAAATTGCTCGTTATCAGCAGATAAAATCCACTGATATCCATGTAAATCCACCGGTAAAATCCCGTTTCTAATGGATTTCCAGCGAAAAGTTGTTCGACAGTAATTCGCAGGTCGTAAAGTTTATTTCGTAGAAAAAAATCTGTTAGAAATATTCCCAACTGATGTATCAACGAAAAAAACGAAACCAATACGTCGTTTTCCTATATTAAATTCAGGTGTTTTATTTGCCGGAATTACTGGCATATTTTTTTAGCCGTAAATTCCGACAAATAAAATGCCAGATGATTTCGCCGAACAGTCGGCGGATGGCGGAATACAGTGTGAGGTTTTTGCCATAAAATCGATACCATTTCGTTGTGCCTGTTTCCAGCGGGTTATCCGTCGGAAACCTATAGCAAAAAAAAAAACAGCCTTCTATGTTAGAAAAATGATTTCTACAACACAACCTGCATAGAAACACTCGAAAACTATATTCATTCAAACTTAAAAATCTACATAAACATCCAAAATCAGCACCAAACATTGAACTTAAACATATAAACATAAACATTCCAAATTAATTTACCATTCACCAAGCAGTTCAAAATGAAAATTAAAGTTCGTTCATTTATAACTACACAAATATCCAAAATAAATAACAACAGATGTCCAAAAATAAGAACACAACATTTACTCAGAATCAGTCTTCTCTACTGAAGCTACATGCTTTTCATTGAACTGCTCTCTCATTTTCTATAGTTCATCCAACAACTGAGTTTGTTGCATTTGCACTTGCACTTGCTAGTGAGCTTGTGATTTCCTGAATTGCTATAGCTCGGCTTGAAGGACAGCTACCAGCTACTTGTGTGTTATATAACGACTCATGGGTAATTACTGAGAAGCTGGAACCACCAGATGTCTGCCCCTCATATACGTAGGCTTGCGAGCCTAAATCATAAACCCTATTGTGCTGCATTCCTCCCACCGCTTGCGACCAAGTGCGGTAGCAAGAATATTCTACTGATCCACCAAAAGAGCCCTCAGCTACTCCTGTCTGGCTCTCTCGAAGTCATGTATACTCGTCCTATAAAATTTAATAATAAATTAAGCAATTTACAAATGAAATCAAAACTATAAAACTTATATATTTACATAGGATCTCTTTGCTCGCTCATCAACTCATTATTGATCCTCCTGCCGCCTGTGGGTATGACTATACAATTCAATAGTGATCGGCTCTTTACCCATCACCTCTTTCTGTAATAGACTTACATTAGTATTCATATATAAATAAATTATTAAAATCTTTTAAAATACTTACCAAACATCGTTTGTGCTCACTATGTAAAATTGATCCTCCAATATAAGGGGAACTACCCATGCCGCCAACATCAGAAGCTATGTTCTTTCTATTATGGTCCCTCCTACTGGCATAATCTAGGCTACCCCAAGCAATACTCAGTTCAACCTATACACTCTCACCAATCCAGAGTGATCGCTTGTAAACATGTCTCACATGCAAGTCAACCCACATTTTTCAAAAAAATTTCTAATTTTATCATATGCTGGACAGCTAATAAAATTTTTTCTGCATTTAAATGCATACAATGTATAATATATATTTTTGTTAGCTTAAGTAAAAAAGATATAATATAAAATATATTTGTATAATAACTAATTTCAAATTCTCTGAACCACATGTCTCGCACTTCTTTCGGGACATTCTTCCAAAAAATATAAGGAGCATCATACTTGCCCTATATTATGTCCCGTATTTTATGCATTTGCTGTTTTTATGGGTGAAACTTGTACAAAATATGTTAAGTGAGAAAAAAATTTATTCAAATTTAGTTGCATGTTAACAATATAATAAGTACATACGCGTCACCGTCATGTTCAATCAACATGCAACCATTTGTCAACTGTTAGGGCCAGACTGAAATCAGTGTATGAAAGAGAGCTGATGGTGATAGTGTTGGCAATATAGAAGTGACGACCTTAGCTGCTGAGCGACACTTCATAGTCAGGACCGATCAGAGGAGTTTAAAGTTCCTATTAAAGTAGAGGATCGCGACAGAGAAGCATCAGTGGTGGCTTTCCAAGCTGTTGGGTTATGACTTCGAGATCCAATACAAGCCTGAATTGAAAAATAAAATTGCAGATTCTCTCTTCAAGCGTAGTGAAAACCATAAGGTTATAGCTCTATCTATTCTCATGATGGTGGATTGGGAGATCTTGAGGCATGAAAGCGAGCAGGATGAGGAGTTAAGTAAGATCAATAAAGCCTTACTGCAGAACAAGGATAGCCATTCTGGTTACTCTTTGATGGGTCAGAAGCTGGTATACAAAGGATGGTTTGTGCTTTCGAGAACACACCATATATCCCTCATTTGTTGCAGGAGTTTCATGGCACAACTATTGAGGGACGTTCAAGAGTTTAGAAGACATATCATAGACTGACAGAGGAGCTATACTGGGTAGGCATGCAAAAAGATGTATAGGAGTTGGTGGCCAATTATGATGTGTATCAAAGACACAAATACCTAGCGATGGCTCCAGGTGGTCTTCTACAACCTCTAGCATTACCCGAGAAGGTATGGGAAGAGGTGACTACAGACTTCATTGAGGAACCTAGATCAAAGGGTTCACTGTGATTCTATTGGTGGTTGACAAATTGAGCAAATATGCTCATTTCATTCCCTTACGCCACTCATACACCGTAGTGTTGGTGGAAACCACATTCATTAGAGATGTGATATATTTGCATGGCATACCTGAGGTCATTATGTCTGATCGGGACAAGGTCTTTCAAAGCCATTTCTAGAGGGAGCTATTCAAGATGCAGAGGACTTTCCTGAAGCGAAGTACAGCATAATACCACAGATGGATGGCCAGACAGAGATAGTGAATCCCAGCATTGAGACTTATCTTCATTGCTTTGTATCATATATGCCAAAGATGTGGGCCAAGCGGTTAGCTTGAGCGGAATATTAGTATAACACATGGGAGAGATCCACCTCATCTAATATATTATGGGTATGGAAACACACCAATATCATCAGTGGAACAATACTTGAAAGAAAGAGACCGAATTTTGGCATAATTGAAAGAACATCTACGGAGAGCACAACAAATCATGAAGCAGGTAGATTGATGCAGGAGGGACATGCAGTTTGAGATTAGCGACAGGGCTTATCTGAAGATCCAACTTTACGGACATAGAACTGTGGCTTGATGAAGGAATGAGAAGCTATCCCCCGTTACTTTAGTTGCTACGAGGTAGTGGAGCATATTGACACAATAGCATATCGCCTACGGTTACCTCCAACCTCAGCCATCGACCCCGTATTTCATATGCTACATTGAGACGAGACATTGGAAACCACACACCCTCGTCCGCACCACCGGACACATTTTTAGAGGATATGGAGGTAATATGAGAACCACTGGAGCTAAAAGGGTTGCGCTAAAGATATAAGGGGACCAGGGAAGTGCTGATCAAGTGGAAGCATTTACCAGACTATGACACAACATGGGAAGCATACTGGATGATTCAACAATAATTTCCTTCATTCCACCTTGACGACAAGATGGCTCTTTGGGAAGAGAGTATTGATGGACCGACGGCTATGGAGCATATAGGCCCCACTAAGGTGAACGATGTGCAAGAGGAGAGAGGGGCTCAAAGGGGAATAATTCCACCTCTAATTACTTACTATAGAAAACAAAAATTAAGAGGGAATTATGAAATCTTATTTAAGAAAAAATAGCCGATTTGAATTCAAATTTGGGAGAAAATTAGAAAAATTTATTTAAGGAAAGAAAGATTGATTTGAATTCAGATTTTAGAAGGGAATTAGAAAGCTTTATATTAGGGTTAATTGAGTTATTTTAGGATTATGAGATTACATGTGTTTGTTGTAGTTTATTTTGGAGTTATTCCTAGCGATGCCTAAGATTTGTGTAGAGCCAATCTGATAGATAGGTCCCTGGACCAGTCTAGTCGGTCCAATTAGGACCGTTCCAGATTTACAAGAGGCGGAACAGGAGAAGTTCCGCCCCCATCTTTACCACCACTTGATAGTGGGGTCCACAAGCTTAATTAGGGGAAATTAAGAGGGATTTAGGAGGGAAATTTCAAATAGAAGGGGTTGTGTTGGGATTTACCTAATTATTGTATGCTTAAGGCTTCGTTTGGTAGCGCATAAATTTTTCCGTTTGCGGTTTCAATCGGAAAAAATAAGTATTTTAATGTTTGTTTGCGTCACTTTTTTAAAAGGCCTTTTCATATAACTCCGAAATAACACCGATTTCCGAAGTAAAAAAATTCGGCTTCTCCGTTATGATACTTCCGTTTAAAAATGAATAAAACTCCGGTGGAAATCAAACGAAGCCTAAGTATGTTTTGGTGGCTAGGGTTAGGTTTTCATCTTTGTTTTTGCTAAAATTTTCTAGTTCTTAGTTCTTGTTCGGGCCATAATAGCGTCTAGAGATTTGGAAGAGATGGATCTTCCTCTCCAATAGATGATCCATTATATTTTGTTTGTCTTCTTCCATATTTCATCAATGTAAGGCTATTTAGGTGTTTTGGCAACAAGATTCTTCTCTATTTCCGGTTCTATATTGCTGAAACTTCAATTTCAGCTATCAATTTCTGCACTGGTTTCCTAACACAACCTCTCGAATAGTAAATCAACTTGAATCTTGATTTGCTATGCTTAAATAACAATTTTTCTCGCCAAATTCTGCTGAGCTTTCTTTGATCTTGCTGTTTTCGCTGTGTAGAGGTAAGATTCCTATCATCATAATGACCCTCATTTTAAGCAACCCACCATTTTCAAGAAGTTACATAGCTATTTTATCATATTCTTTTAAGAGAGTTACCTCCGGCCTTAGGTTTTTTTGAATTTGAAGTCATTCAAGCTTTTCCAGGGAATATGAAATGAGCTACTTCAATACCATAGAGTATGATACTCAACAAAATATTTTAGCGCGTGGGCAGTGGGGATTGGACATTGATGGAAATCCACATTTGCCCGTCTCCATAACAAATTGAATGCATTGACTTTGTGAGGCAACTAATTGAGTTTGACGGTCAAAACGGGACTACTGATAGGTTCATAATTAACGTAATTAACTGTTTCCAGTGAGTGATTGCAAAAGATAGAATAATAAAAGATGACACAGAAGTAGACACCATGTCAAGTAAAATGAAAAGCATAAAGCAGAAATTTGCATTGATAATCAAATGATATGTTAATTGCAACTGAATCCAACACAATTACCACCATATCATTGCTACACAAACTTTGTAGGTGCGGTGTCATTCCCTTCTGCCAATGATTTCGCATGCTCAACAATTAAATCGGGTATCCAGCCAAAAGATTTCTTCTTTAAGTCCTCGAGTATTCGGTTCGCCTCTTTAAGTTCATCTCTAGCAACCGCACCATGGCTTGCCCATGCATCGACAACTTTTTGTTGGAATTCCAAGGCAAGGGTGTAGCTGCATATGAAAGCAAACGATTACATACTATTTAGTAGCATCAACACAAATTTATTTGGCACTTGTAAAATCATATTAATGATATGTCTAGGAAATATTGAAAGCATTATTAGAAGGTTACACAAAATTTATGGTCTTCTAAACCATTATGATAAAATTTATGGGCTTCTAAACCATCATGCAAATCAAAAGTATCATATTTTAACATAATCAAACAAATAAAATTTAAAAGTCATCTTAAAGCCAATAAAGGTTTATTTTTTATGCAAAATTGTATTATTATTCCCCAATGTGTATTCACATTCCACATAAGGGTATAAAGCAAAGTGAATTCCAATTCTTCTAAATCACATACAAGAAACCTAAACAAACCTAAACATTTAATCTAATACCTAATAGAAATATGTATATATCACCATGTAGCAGCATCCTACATATCAACAGTGTAAACAAGCTAAGATATGATACCCTTAGTTAGGCAAGGGGAAAAAATAGACAACAAAACAAACCATTGGGATAAAAAAGATAGGTCCTGGAAAAAAGAAAACTGATAGTGTATTTACGATCCAATGACATTAAATATGATTTGCCGAAAAAACATGACAACATTTGAGATCATAATAGGCAAGGTTCCTATTTAAATCGTATTTACAGTTATACAAAAGATCATAAAATCCCTTGTTTACTAAGCAACATAAATTCCCTTGTTTACTAATGCTTCCTTCCTATATTAATGGCTTATTTTAGTGTATTTGTTGTGAGGATTTGAATTAATGAATTTTGAAAGAAGATCAAATTGTCTCAATACACGCCCAATTCACCCTCCCTTCACCTCTTATTGTGCCTTAACTCAACATTGCTCTCCTTTGAACATGTCCAAATATCTAATTCTATATTCAAGTATTGTATATTTAATAAGCCTTGCATCCAATGTAGGTTGAATATATTCAATTTTTGCAATAACCTTTCTACTTTAAGCATGTATGAATATGAACACTATCATTAGTAGGATTAATATAATTAAACCTAGATTACTAAATCATTCAATACTTGCAACTCTCTCTGGTACATTTTCTATTATGATCTATTTGCACATGATAAAGTTTTACGAGCATTAAACTGCATCAATTTATAACAAAAGAAAATTATTAAATATCTTAATTAGATTATATAATATTGAAGCAATGGTTTATGAACCTTATAAATCTTATCATAAACACTTTTTTATTTTTAAAGTTCAATTTTTAACAAATCATTCTTTTAGTTTGACACTTAATCATTTATATCCTTCAAATTTTCAAAGAGTAAACTAAAAATCCAAGATATGTTGACAAGAATATAAACTTGTCACCATTATTTATTGTCGCATCAAGGGCTTTACCAAGGTCAGGTACTCCAGCTTTCCAAGAGTTAGAACTCTAAAGCCTTTGGAATAATGTTAGCGAAAAAAAAGAAGCAGCGCTTGTGGTAATAAAATAGTACATTTGATAACAATTTCAAAAGTATGAAACTATTAAAATGGTACAGAAAGATATATAAGAGAAGTCTTGAAAGAGAATAGGTATTAGGGTTGGGAAAAAGGCAACTAACATGCAAAATTGTATGCACTTGAAAATAAATACAGACATGGAAATGTTTGTGCATATTCAAGTTTAAATGGATATGAGTAAGTAGGATCCATCCTAGTAAACACATGCAATACAAGCAAAACTCACACATTCTCACTTGATACTTGTATGCATACATACATATGTAGATAGTCGGGCATATCACTTAGAGGAAAATAATTAAAAAATAACTTGATTGTAATTATTTTACAAAAGAATCCAAGGTAAAATACAATATCAAAGCTCTTTTATTATCTCAAATGAGTCCAACTATTCATGAAAGCTTCTTTTCACTTAATGAATGGTTTTCTATATAACATAAACTAAAGTTTGTCAAAAGATTTAATTTAAAATGCTGATTGGTTAATGCAACAATGTTTTCTTTAGCACACACTAAGGCTTCGTTTAGTTATTCTGCTCCTTTCATAAAAGTCAGTTTTAAAACTATTGTTTCAAAAATGGACTTTTCAAACGGAAAAGTAAATATCCTAAAGCTTTTGAAAATAGTACAAGAATGCAGTTCCCTAAAAAGAATTTTTGTAAAAGTGTCACAAACAAATAACACCAAAAAATATATTCCGTCATTTCTGAACGGAAAAGGCAAAAAAACGCGCAAACAAATAAGGCCTAAGTGTTGAAAATGGACAAGGCACATCTCCAAGTATCCACACTGAAAAAAAAAGAAGACATTCACAGATGTTAAAGCTTAATGCCACAAAACATTCCCCAAAACCTCTGAACTAAAATGAGAAACGATTGCAATCAATATAACATAGGAAAAGAATTACATATGACAAAGTACAAGATTTGGAAAGTTGAAATGCCCAGCTTAATAGAAGCCAAAATTTCATTTACTTAGTGGAACTAACATATAAATTGGCAAAGGAAGAAAATTGGCAAGATTAATATATGTCCTATACTGGCTTGAGGTTTTTATCATGCTGCAAAATAGGTCCTACTCGGGAAGAAAATAATATAAACCAATAAACAGACAAATGAGTTAAAAATTACAATTATTACCTCTGCATGGCACTATAGGCATTAGCAAGACTCTGGCATGTCTGTATAGAATCTGCATGATGTGGTCCCAATGAAACATCCATAATATCTTTTGAAATAGCAAACATCTGTGCAGCTGCCTGTGGCCGCTCCAATTCCATGTACGCTGCCCCCAAATTATTGTAGATATATCCAACTGCAAAATGCTTAGCACCAAAGCTTTCCTTCAGCCTCTCAGCTGCACTTTCCAAATATGGAATGCCCTCCTCAACCTTCCCAGTCAAAAGAAACAACCATCCAATCTTTCCCAAGACATTCCCCTCCATATGCTGCTCCTGAGGAAGTTTTTCAATCATTCCAAGGCTCCTCTTCAGCAAGGGTATCGCAGTTGCGAATTCATTCATTGTCTCATAGAGAGATGATATCTCCATGTATGCTTCTGCAACCTTTGAAGGCAAGTGCATTTCTTTCTTCTCAAGAATATCACAGGAGATCTCCAAACATCTCTTTCCCTCTGCAAACTTTTCTTGATTGCAGAGTGCCTTTGCCATTGAGATAAACACCAATGCCCGAATTTCACTGTCTTTTTCTGTCTGCTGAGCAACTCCTTTGAGAGTCTTGACAGCCTCATCATACTTTCCCAAAGCAATCTGTATATTAGCAGCATCAATCTCAGCAAGGATCAAATCAGAACTCATCCCCCAGCTCTTTAAGACCTTCTTTGACAGCTGGTTCTGCTCCATTGCCTTCACATGGTCTTCTAATCCAGTATATATCACTCCAAGTAACCGCCGATCATGAGCCACCTCCACAGAATTTTGACCAAGCCGAGATAGATGAATCTCAAGCGCTTTCTCGCAAAGTGGCAATGCTTCTTTGAAGTTCAGAACTGCAGCATAAGCTTCTGCTAAATCCCTATAGGCAATTCCCATTTCTCTGCTCTTCGGCTCCAAAATGGACTCCTTAAGCTCTAAGCACCGTTTTAGATTAAGCAAAGCCTCCTCTCTCCTACCCATCGCGGTTTTAGTGTTTGCAAGCTGCAGCTGGACAGCATGTATCACCGGCCGGACATCAAATTCTTCGGAATTCTCTTTCTCTAAGACGCCCAGAATCCGATTGGCCCGATTCAAGAACCCTAAGCTATCATTGAACCGCTTCAGATCGTAACTGGCGGAACCAACCAAATGGAGTGCCATGGCAACTGAAACAGACGCATCGCCACCATCATCAAGAATCTTCAAGGCTCTCAATCCAAAGCTTAAAATGTTCTCATGATCGTCGGTGCCAATGGAGTCCAAATGCTGGCCAACCTTCAAGCAAGCAAGACCAAGCCTCTTATCCTTCTCGTCCAGCGTGGCTGCGAACGCTTGGAAGGACTTCAGAATCTCCTCCGTAGTCGTTGCAGACTCGAAGGACTCCTCGAGGTCGGACTCCTCCTGGATGTTGCGCTGCCGAGACGGTAGGAGAGGGCTAGGGTCGGGAAAGGTTTGGAAACAGCGAGAATGAAACTTTATTAGTGTAAACGGATGATCAGTACCGGGTTTAAGGTTTGGAGAAGAAATTGGATAGGAAAGAAGAGATGGATCCAGCGAAGAATGATCAGAGAAGAAGGATCTTGGAAGAAATTTACGTCTGGAGGTGGATTTGAGGAGAGTCGATAGAAGTAGAAAAGAGGAAGAAAACGTTCGTTTCATGGTGAATAGTGAGGAAATTCTGGGAACATAGAAAGGGTTTAGGCAAAACCCTAAACCATCGCTTGCTGACGATGCAGCTGGTTTGTATCGGTTTCTACTTCGCAATGGCCCGCCCATTCAACTTAAGATTTATCTCTCTCTTCTTCTCGAAAAGTTATTACATCCGGACAAAAAATCGAAAATCCTGACGTATACCGAGTAATATAGAGTGCTCGGTATCGAGCTCCAGGTGACGTGGTGCGTTGTTATTAGTCTCTGGACACGTTCGGTGTCCGGACACAATAATTATTTTATTGTTTGAGACTAGCCTTAATTGAAAGTCTTTTTTCGTTATGGATAAGAGTAATTAACTATAGACACTTGTGCCTATATAAAACATAAACTTAGATCATAAAGTCTTAGTAAAATAAATGTGAAATATCTATGTAGAATTAATTCAAAATTCAATATGCATTCTGAAAATTTACTTCGGAACCTACTCATTAAAACTCTTCATAATGACCCGAAGAAAAAAAAGGGTCCATGGAGAGGCCGGAGCATGAATTTTCAGAGCCCGCACTCTCATTCGCTATACTTTATCTTCAAATAAACCCTTCAATTGTCAGATGTCATCCACATTAATCTTAGGAAAATATAATCAATTAAAAGGTTATTTATGATTGATAAATAAAATTGTGTAGGAACTGCAACAGATTTATGTATGATGGTTATTTCTATCTTATGTCTTATTTGCCTTTACAATAACCTAAGTGCATATTCTCATGCAAAATTCTCCTAATTACTCTCACTTTTTTTTTAATACGGCTTTGAAAGTGAAAACCCTAAAGGCTCTCACTTTGAAAACTCCAAGGCTCGACTTAGGTTATTACATATAATAACACATTCTCTTCACCATCCTCCTAGGAAACCCAACCCCACAAAATACTTATCACTAATTAATATGATTATTGTTCTCATCACATTACTGATCAACCCCTCTTCTCCTCTGTATGGGCATCTCCCCATCTCTAGCAACTACTCCTCAACGAGAAATTATTCTGTGCAGATATCAGATAGTCCGAACACCAACCAGAACACATCACGTCACCCGATACCCATCACCAGTACCGAACAAAAAAGTAACGTGACCTGTTCTGATTGACCTCCGAACGACGTCCGGTGTCCGTACAAAATAATTTATCCTCCTCAACACCTAATGGTCTAAATGCACATAATCTTATCTCATTTAATCTCCAAGTTATGACCTTTTATTTGCCCTTCCTTAAATCAACTCTTCTATGCTTGACCAATCCAACTCCAATCTTAGCTCCTTGTTATGCAACTCCCTGTCCTTGCAGCTTAGAACATAAGAGAGCAGATAATCCTTGTTTGAAGAAATTTAATCAAGAAATATAATATTGACATGATTTATTTGTTGGAAATCAAATTTAGCTTTTATTATCTTCAGAAACTCAGTTCCCTTTACAGGTTATATATGTTATAGGATCAAAATAACTTTGAAATTGATTGTGAAGTTGGATTTGGTTGAAATAAAATAAAGTAAAAAATTTTCTTTACTCTTCTCTTCATAGACTCTCAATTAATCCATGGTGTAATTATCTTTTCTAGCTTTATGTTGTTTTCACTATTATTTATATTATTAATGATGCTTCTATAATGAGACAAATTAGGAACTCTCTTATTAATATCTCAAAATTTATGAACTTGGATTGGATAATCTTATAATTCCAATGATTGTGTTTTTGAAGCTAGATAAATTGAGCTCCCAAGTGTGGTATTTCTTTTTCTTTTTTGTACTAGTGTAGTATTTTTTAATCTTTTTTTAATAACCAACTTTCTTGCTTGATGTGAATGAAAATCAATAGAATTTTATGTAATATCTCGTGAGTCGTGACTTATCTTGCTCTTATTATATACACACCTCTTCCCTCAAGAATGATCAGTCAAGAATTTCCAATATACACAGCTCACATTGGTTAATTTGGAGCTTTGGCCATCAATCAAAAAGTCTTGAGTTCGAGTCTTGCATATGTAATGAGTGTGTGGGTTTGTCTTGTATTGGAGATTCAGTTGGGACAGCTTTCTTTTTGCTTCTTAAATCAACTTTTTAGTACAACAAATTTAATTTTTGTGCTAAAAGTCGCTTTAAGAAACAATAATAAAGCTTTCACAAACGAAGTCTTAAACTACTTAGCGAACAAAAGAAAAAGATAGCAACATTTTAGGTATTAAAGTTGTCTTTTCTATTAAGTACATTGGTATGCCTTTTAAACATGGCAAAATATCAGTTAAAGTCTCCTCCCATGATTTGTTTGACAAGCTAAATATCTTGCTCGCTAGTTGGAAGCACAACTTTCTCTTACAAGTTATTTTGGCTATTGTGTTCCTCAACATTGAATTACTTGATTTATTGGTTAAGGTCTGTCTCCTTACTTAACTGTTGGTAAAAAAGATGATTGCTTTCTCTTCCATTTTCTTATTTCATGGTCATAATTGAAAAAAGAAAATTGCAAATGTGATCATTCCACATATTTTTATGAATTTTTTTAGGCTAACATAATTATAATTTTTGAACATTCTAAATTTATTTTTTATGATATTAGATCCTACTAAGCGTATTATAAAAATTTTAATCAACAACAACAACAACATCATCATCAAGCCTTTGTCCCACTATGTGGGTCGGCTACATGAATCATATTTCTTCGTTGTGTCATGTTAAAAGTCAAATTCTCGCTTAAATCTAATAAAGAAAGATTATTTCTAATATTTTCTAATCAAGTCTTTTTCGATCTACCTCTACCTTTCTTAACACAAGTCAAATCTAATACATGATCAACTTTCTTAACCGGGTCATCGGAAGGCCTCCATTTCATGTGACCAAACCATCTAAGGCTACTCTCTATAATCTATATTATAACAATTTTAATCAATCTGAAAAATTTTCGAGCCAAAATTTTAAGAAAGCTTTGCATAAAAAATATGTCATCAACATTTAGGGCATCTAGCGACGGGAATTAACAGAAATTTTGGTTCACATAGGTACAGAGAACGATCACGTCTTAAAATTTCACCAAAATTATCAAATTTGTATGAACATAATTGACAAAAACTATGTGATTATAGTAAAATTCTAATGATAACATCTCTTAAAGAGGAATAAATTTTATTTAGTAAAACTTAAGAGCACAATTAAATTATTGTAGGAATTGGAAAATCTGCCTTCAAGCAAGACAAAAGCCCTTGCCTCCCTACATGATCCATAGCTAACTAAACTAAAGCTTGCAGGGAAGGCAAAGTAAGCAAGGCTTTTGTCCCCTCTTTGCCCCCTCCTGTCCCAGAAAACCACAGATTTTCAGATGAATGTATTATTTATAGGAGATATACACTATCAAAATATGAGATTTCCACAGCAATAGTGACGGTTTCAAAACCGCCACTATAAATTGATATAAGCAGTAGTTTTCACGGTACTAAAATATTATAAAAAACTTAAATTTTTTACAGCTTATTTTATAGAGGTGGTTTGCGAACCACCGCACTCTTAAAATCGCTGCTAAAGTCTTTCCAGCGAATGCAAATACAATAAATTTGCGGCTATTACTAAACCGTTGTAAATACATTGATAGGTGTTTAAACCGCTGCAGTAGGTTCTAAAAAGTGTTGCAAAAGCTTAATTTATTATTAGTGATAAATGCAACTATATCTTTAAAAATTAAGTAAATTTTAATTTATAACAAGCACTTCTTATTTTAAATAAATATTTTTTTATTTCAAAATATTTTAATCAGAATATTGGACAAAATTTCTTCCCATGATAACAGGGATGTTTGGCAATGGAGTGAATAGCATAGCTATATATATTGACTATTGAGTGAAGGAGGTCTCATATCTAACTCCCATATATGACACGTGCGTGGTGGCCCGCACGTGACCAATCTGTCTGTTTGACCGGTCAACGGCTTGTATGTAGATGTAGCTGTACAGATACTGTAACCCCTATTTTAGAGACCTAAACTAAAAACTGCCAAATTTGACCACGCAGAAATTAAGCTTTGTAATCTGCCATGAAGCAATGATGCAACAAATCTACTAATGAATTTGTACTGATAGTTATACTTAAAAGATAAGGATCAAAATAGTTTAAGAGACTAAATTATATTTTTATATAATTGGAGATTATTTTTGTCATTCAGAAAAGGGATCAATTTGATCATTTTCTTCATAAATTTCAAAAAATTTAAAATAATTTTCTTTTAGATTGAATTGAAATGGGGATCGAGGACATTGTTTAATTTCAAATTATCTTTAAGTATAATTATTTATCTTAAGATTTTGTTTGAGACGACTTTCTTACTGCTTCTTAAAGCAGCTTTCTAGTATAAAAATTAAAGTTTTTTATTAGAAAGCTGATTTAAGAAGCAGTAAAAAATCATCCCAAATGAAACCTAAATCTCCTAAAATAGAACAAGTTTGAATTGAACAAGGATAAAGAATGCCAATGACTTGGGTCTATGTTTAATTAACTAATTTTCTCCTATTTAATCCCTCCATGCATGAAATCTCAAATTAGCTTAAAATGGAAGACTTATATGGGATTGCTAAAATAATGAAACATGTTAGCCATTAAAGAGACCACCACAAATTAAGAATCCATTACTGAATACTCCATGCATCAGCCTTGCTTGCCCTTATAAAGGTTTGGTTCAACCATATCTTCAAGCTTCTAAAGGAGCTCACTTTGCTCAAAGAATACACATAACAGACAATTCAAAGAGCTGAGAAAATGAAAGGTCTAAGCTCTCCTTGTGGAGCTTGTAAGTTTTTGAGGAGAAAATGTGTGAGGGGATGTGTTTTTGCTCCTTGTTTCTGCCATGAACAAGGAGCTTCTCATTTTGCTGCAATTCATAAGGTATTTGGTGCCAGTAACTTCTCTAAGCTCCTCATGAAACTTCCGATTATCGATCGCTGTAAGGCTGCTAGCACTATATTTTATGAAGCACAGGCCAGGCTCCAAGATCCTATCTTTGGCTGTGTTTCTCACATCTTTGCTCTTCAACAGCAAGTGAGTTTGGATAGATTTATATATCTCAAGTCATGGCT